GTGAATAACACACTCCCATTCCTAGATATTTTTCTTGGACATGGCCTAAACGGTAAAATAACACACAGCATTTACAGAAAGCAAACGCACACTGATGCCTATCTGAATGCAGAATCACATCATCATCCAGCTCAGAAATCCTCTCTTATCAAGACGCTCGTACATCGGGCCTAAACAGTGTCAGATGGTGAGAGTCTAGTGAGAGAGATTAAACACGTTAAAGACGCACTACGACAGAATGGCTACAATAATGCTCAAATTAACAGAGCACTGAATGCCAAATCACGATCGCAAAGCAATACTACTGAAAGCGACCAGATTGTTAAAACAATAAAAATTCCATATATCTCAGGAGTAACTGACAAATTAGCCCGTGTTCTGCAAAAGCAAAACATTACAGTAAGATTTGGACAGTGCACAAAATTCAAAAACTAGTATCTTGCACTAAAGATGCATTACCTAAACTTTCAACAGAAGGTGTATATCGGATTAATTGTTCATGTGGCAGCTGCTACATTGGGCAGACGGGACGTAACATCAGCGTAAGACTAAAAGAACATCAGAGAAATATTAAATTATCTCAAACACAACTGTCGGCAGTGGCAGAACATGCTTGTCAACAAGGACACTCAATTGATTTTGACAATGTTGCAGTGGTTTGTAAAACTAATTATTACTGGCAAAGACTAATTAGAGAATCCATTGAAATTGAGAGGAACAAGAATAACTTCGTCGTACTCAAACTGTAAATGTGGATTAACACACCGGTGGCTGAAGTAGTGAATTATTTGTCTTTTGTCAACGTGACACTTTTTTTTTGCTGATTGGCCGTGTCGGGTGGTGGAGGGTTACGACACATTTATAAATAAACGCGATCTAACCCAAAAACCTTTATTATGAATCTTTCCAATGGTTGCTTAATTTGAAACCATCTTCTCGGTTGAAATTGTGTCTGCGCTTGTAGGTCTGAATTGCCTCGTGAACAAATCTCTGATAAAAACCTGTGGGTTTGCAAAGAACCTTGGTATCTGAGAAAATTATATCATGATCACCCACAGCGTTGTAACAAGGTTCTTTGCAAACCCACAGGTTTCTATCAGAGATTTGTTCACGAGGCAATTCAGATCTACAAGCACAGACACTATTTCAACCGAGAAGATGGTTTCAAATTAAGCAACCATTGGAAAGATGTTCTAAATCGAACTAAACATTAAACTAATTTTCATTGGTACAGTATATTTTTTCAAGCAGTGGTACCCCAAACTTTCGCAGCACAGGCTGGTGCACTGCCGGTGCCGATCACTGTGCTACACCTTTCATCATGCTAAGTCCGCCAATCAAATGTTATTTTTTACGCTAATTCCTTTGTCAAGGCACCATAATCCCTCTCACACAGCTTAAAGGTGCACTGCCCCGTGTGACACCTTTCATAATGCTAAGTCGGCCAATCAAATGCTATTTTTTTTATGCTAATTCCTTTGTAGAGGCACCTTAATCCCTTTCACACAGCTTAAAGGTCGCAGTCTGAGCTTGGCTCTGTTTCCCTCCAGCGCAGTCTTCGAGACAGGCTGGTCCCTTCACCTGATGAAGGCTGCTTGTGTTGTGGCCAAAGCGTCGTGATTTTTTATTTATTTTTTTCCTACGTGACATTACAGAATAGAACCAAAGAGTGTTACAAATCTTGGTTAAACATAAACCAAATAATAATCACAAGAGATTAGACCTAGGGTAACTCATAAGAAGTACAAGAAAATAGGTCAAGCACACAAGACCAGATCAAATGTATTCCATGAAATCAGAGCCTCCCCGGCCGCCTTTGTCTTCCAACAATTTGACACAAACACATGGTAGCCATAAATACAGATGAAAGGTGCGTCCCCTCCCTTAGCAAACGCCACGAAGAGAGGGGTTGGAAAGGCAAACAAACATAAATTTGACGTAAAGCAGCCCGCCCGGGGTCACCAAGGGAAGAAGGGGGGCAATCAGGTGCGGCCGCGGGGGGAGAGCATGACAGAGTAAGCATCTGTTTTTTCTCTTACAAGAGACGCGCAGAGGGGAGATTTTGCGGATAAAAACAGCAACACGACAGCAAAGCAAGGGACAGCTCGGAAGAGGACAGCAAGCCAGCTCCGGGGCATGGCCTCGAGATCAATAATGCGTGTGGTGCATCGCAGAGAAGGGGGGCGAGGTGATGATCTGTGCTGAGTTCGGCATGGACCGATAGAGGATCGCTGAAAGTTATTCTCAGCGTCAAGCAATCAACCTCGAGAAAGGGCAGAGAGGGCCAAGCATCGACCAAGAGTGAGTGCTCAGCAGCTCCACCAGCGCCACCATGCAAGGGTGCCAGCTGCCAGCGGACAAGCATTGTGCCGACTCGGCTCATCCAGCAGGGGAAAGAGCCTGACCAGCCGACCGTGAGCAAGAGTGTCAGCCCCAGCGAGGGTGCCTTGGGTTCGACCCATACGCACACCGAGCGGCACCAGCTGGAAACCAAGACAAGAGTGAGGAACTGCAGCCAGTGGACGAGCCGCGGGCGCTATCTGACGACGGATCATCGCGCACCAACGGCGAGCATCGTGCCGACTCTTCCACCCAGCTGTGGACCGAAACTGTGGCCGCCCCCGAGCAAGAGAGAGAACGAAGCCGTTTGTATGACCCTCGCCCACACTCACACCCTCACGACGCTTCGCCCGGCGTCTGCTTTACACAAATAATTGAACAAGTGGCAAATAAGACACACAACACGCATATCGGGACAAATAAGATTGTTCCAAAAAGTTATCTTTGTGTTTCAAGAAGGGTTGCAATTACAAGTTGGTGCATTACATATCAACTGATCGTGAAGAACATGCTCCCCATTGAGCTACGTGGATACAGTCATTTAGAAATATTTTCGTTGTTAGTTTTTTTTTATTGCATAATCTTACCAATGAATTCATTGATAACTACTCTTGCCTTCGGGACATGTTTCTTTATTGCCCTTCGTATGAATATCGTTGCATGAATTTTTTATGACTTTTCCTCTCGCTGTGTATGCTCGCGTACTCTGAGGAATAATCGATTGTATTGTTACCCAGTTAGCAAACGTGACCATTGAGGGTTAAATGTATGGATCAATGAGGGGGAACATCTCCTGGAGTACTGTGACAATTCCAAGCATAAGAGTTTGCATATTAGAGTGTTAAGGTTTTGTTTAGAAATTAAAATTGCTTAACACAGAAGTGTTTGAGTGTTTCTTTCCTAAGTTCATGCATAATAATCTTAATTATAAGAACTGTATCCTGCGGTGAGATTTGAATTTGGAGACCTGATATAAACACACTAAGACATAATCAGTAAATGTTAAAGCAAGAACAATTGTATTATACCGATTGATAATACAACCCTAGACAGCGAAGCCGAGCTTAATCTAGCATACTTACATCACACCTGCATAACTTCATACAATAATTGTCTTATCCCGATTGATAATACTACCCTCGACAACGAGGTTAAGCCTAAGTATCATAACTGCGTACATTAGCATATTCGTACACATTCACATAAGTTAATATTATTACATCTTAATTAGCATAATCTATGCGCATAATTACATTAAATAACATAATTTCGGCAAATTACGTATATTCCCAAATTTCATTTAATTTGTATTATTTTCATTAAAATTTCAATACCCGGCATATAAAACATCTATATGTGAGTATATGGGTCTCTGTGTGAGGCTATAGGTCTCTGTGGGAGTCTATGGTTGTGTTTGTGAGTCTATAGGTCTCTATTTCAGTGTATAGGTGTCTGCGTGAGGTCACCTGTCTGTTTGTAAATCTATGGATCTCTTTGTGTGCCTCTGGGTGTCCGTGTGAGGCTATAGGTCTCTATGTGAGTCTCTGGTTATATGTCTGAGTCTATAGACCTCTATGTGAGTATATGGGCATCTGTGTTAGTCTATATGTCTCTGTGTGCATCTATGGGTCTCTGTGTGAGTCTATGGGTATTTGTGTGAGTTTATCGTTATCTGTGTGAGCCTATTGGTATTTGGATGAGTCTAAGTGTGTCTCTAAGAGTATATGGGTCTCTATATGATACTATGGTTTTCTCTTTAGTCTATGGGTTTCAATGTGAGTTTATGGGTCTCTGTGAGTCTATTGGTGTCTGGGTGGGTTTATGGGTCTTTTAATCTGTGGGTCTGTATGCGAGTCTATTGATCTGTGTGAGTATCTAGATGTCTATATGTGCGTCTTTGGGGATTTGTGTATGTCTATGTTTTCTGCGTGAGTTCATAGGTTTTTATGTGGGCCTCTAAGTCTGTGTGAGTCCATGGGTCTCTGGGTGAGTTTATGGATCCGTGTGTGAGGCAATAGATCTGTATGTGGGTATATGGGTGTGTGTGAGAATCTATGGGTCTCTATGGGAGTCCATAGTTGTCTGAGTCTATTTTTCTCTATGTGAGTCTATGAGTATCTGTGAGTCTATGGGTCTTTTGTGTGAGTTAATCGTAATCTGTGTGAGTCTATGGATCTCACTGAGTCTATTCGTGTCTGTGTGAGTCGATGGGTCTCTGTATGTATTTATGGATCTATTTGTGAATCTATGGATGTATCTGTGAGTATATAGTTTGAGTCTATGGGTCTCTGCGTGAATCTACGGATCTCTGTGTTAGTCTATGAGTGTCCGTGTGAGTACGTGGGCGTCTGTTTCAGTCTATGGGTCTCTATACGAGTTTTTTGGTCTCTGTGTGCGTCTGTAGGTCTCTGTATGAGTCTATTGGCCTTTGTGTGAGTGTATGGGTGTCTATGTAAATCTATGCATCTCTGTGTAATTCTATGGGTGTCTGTGAGTCTGTATGTGAGACTATGGATGTCTGTGTCAGTCTATGGGTCTGTGTGAGTATTTGGGTCTTTGTGTAAGTCTATGGGACTTTGAGTCTATGGGTGTCTGTGTGAGTCTGTGTGCCTCTGTGAGACTGTGGATGTCTGTGTGAGTCAATGGATATTTATGTGAGTCTGAGTCACTGTGTGAGTCTATTGGTCTTGATGTGAGTTCATGGGTGTTTGTGTGAGTCTATGGGTGTACGTGTGAGTCAATAGGTCCCTATATGATTATATGGGTCACTGTGTGAGTCTATGAGTGTTTGCGTGAGTTTATAGGTATCTGTGTCAATCTATTGGTTTCTATGTGCGTCTCTGGAATTCTTCATGCGAGTTTATGGATCTTCATCTAAAAGTATAACATTTATCCTAATTAATAATGGGAATAAAAAAATATATGCACGCATATTCTGGGCAGTTGTCAGATGAAAAATAGCTTCAAAGCCCTCCTGCAGTATCGATAAACATTCTGATTCTAATAAATAGTGGTTGGTCATGTGATTAACCAATTGTATCTCTAACAATGTTGCTAAAGTGGTAACCAATTAACACTGATTGCTTCTTCAGGGAGACTCTCAGGATGGTTGTTATTGTGTGGGAGACCGCGCCCGGAGGACATGTCGGTACCAATTCCAGGCAATGCTTCGATAAGACATCGAGATCACTCTACAAGTTGACTGTATGTTCGGCATTATTCGGTGTGCTGGTGTATCTGAGCATTGTCTATTGGGTATGTATACACTTTCATTATCATTACTATGACAGTAATACACATATTGAAAGTAATTTATTTGATGGTAAATGCATCGCACACTTTGAAATGCACTTCTGCCACCTGGAACACTCCTTTCGATATTAGGAAGCCACCGGAGCTATGCACTTTTAATCCACCATCTAGATTAAAAACTAATTTCTTTAGAACTGCTTTTGTGATTAGTTTGTTGTCCTTTCCTCGCACATAGAGATGCATAGAGATTTACAGAGATACATAAAGACCCATAGAGACCCATAGAGGTGCATATAGACCCATGGAGACACATAAAGATACATTTAAGCCTACAGAAACACATACAGATACATAGACATACATAGATACACATAGAGATGTAACTTGCTGACTCCCCAGCACCTACTGGATATCTGTAATAATGAGCTTTGTAGCTCGTCAGATTCTTCTTCTTCAGTCTAAACACATTATGATTCTGATTCTGAACGGTGTCTTTAGGTTCCCAGGCAGGGTAACTCCCGACTGGCACCACTCTACCACCACCAGCAGCAACCACGCCAACAGCACTACGAAGGTGCCAGCCACGTCCCTCCCCCGTCTCCGGCACACCCGCCATCGCCCGCCTTCGCCCTCGAGGGCCGTCTGGGCTGTACCCCCCTGCAGTGGCCCCTGCCCCTGAATATCGAGCCGCTACACTTCTCTTCGGCTGAGAGGACGGTGGCGAGGGTCGTGAATGAAAGGCGCAGCGTCGCCGTGGGGGACTCGGTGATGCTCCGCGTGGAGATGATGGACGGCACTGGCCGTCCGAAGGGCTACGGCTGCGACTTCCTCCTGGCTCGCGTCTACAACATGGCCCTCGGCAACGCGGCCACAGGACAGGTTATCTGATCTGCTCTTCTTATCGTGGCCTCTACTACCGTGTGCAGGCGTAGCTCTCATAGTTCCGCCACATCTAGCGCTATTTTCTTATAACACGTATTGGTAAAGCAAAAATATAGCAGTGTCGGGAACGCATCTCCATTGCAAACATGTCAGAGTGGCCTCCTATACTCCTGTTTCCTAATAACACTCAAAGGTTACAATATATAAAGCTGTTGGGAATGCATCTATTTAAACATGTTGTAGTTGACTTCCCATAGCGCTGTTTCCTAATAACGCTCACAGGTAAAACATAGCACTGTTAGGAACGCATCTCCAATGTAACCATGTTATAGTGACCTGCTATAGCACTGTTTTTTATCCCGCTCATAGATATAGGGAACCAGTTCCCATAGAAGCCTATGGGGACATGTTAAGAGATTGGGAACGGGTTCTCATAGAAAGTCTATGAGGCAATGTTAAGAGAAAGCAAACCAGTTCCTATAGAAAGCCTATGGGACAATATTAACAGATAGGGAACCGGTTCCCATGGAAAGTTTATGAGCCCATGTTAAGAAATGGGGAACAAAATCCCCATATACCCTTAGATAACTTTTTTGGGCACGTGCTGTTAGCGAGTAGCACCTATGAAGGCCGGCATGGTACACAAGGGTGTGGGTGTATGTATTATGAAGCTCTTTTACACTGTACGTAGTCAACCGTGCTAATCGGAGGTGCAGGGCAAGGACAAAATCTAAACACAAAAAGCAGGTTAACAGAAATTGGTTTTCAATCTCGATTATTAAAAAATGCATAGATCCAGTGGCTTCCTAATATCGGAAGGAACAGTGTTCAAGATGGCCGCCGAAGTCCATCTGAAAGCGTGCGATGCAGTGACCATCTTTGTTGGTAATGATGGATTATGCCCCTTGACGAGATTTGCAAGCTATTGTGGTTAATTTTTAACAAGCAATTTGTGTGTAATGAGTGTGACTTGATAATGTATTTGTTCTTCAAACAGAAGCCAATGCAGCTTCGCGAGCACAGTACGGAGATGGTCGGATCTGCAATACCCGCCACAACATGTGCCAAAAATGTTGTAATAACGGCAGCTTGGCAATGTTTTTTTTTTATATACGTCCCGTAGCGTAGTGAGATGCTATAATCGATCCTTATCGGTACTATGCTACACACCACCATGTTGGCTGTCACACCTCAATCTAACCACAATTTGTTTTACCTGAGTGACAACGAGCAGAGCCCTCAATTAGTATGGATTATGCATCATTTCATTTTATGCAAACCTGTCCTGTAGCGCTCGTGTACAATCTTTGAGGTTACCAAGAATCTCCAATCAAATGCTGACTTCACTGCAGTATACAATTTTGTATCAGCATATTGATGGAACTTGATGTCATGCGATGAGATGACATTGCCGATTGTCGAGACGTATGTGGAAAATAGGAAGGGCCCAAGGACGAGCCCCTGCGGTACGCCGACTAGGCACGACATAGGCATAGACTGTTCGTTGCCTAGCTTGATGAATTGTGATCGACCATGTAGGTATGACTGAATCCACCCCAGTGCCATACCTGATACATCGAATCATGACCTTAGCCGCCCAATGAGTATCTCACGGTCGATGGTGTCGAAGGTGGCTGAGAGATCGGGGCCAACCAATGCACCAGTCATCCATGATCTTGTAGAGGTCATCAATTATATTTAGTAGAGCCGTCTCAGGGCTGTAGAATTTCCGGTTTGCCAACTGCAACGGGTTTAATCTGCCCATCGCAGTGACGTGGGGAAGTAACCTTTTCAGACAAAGGCGCTCTATGACCTTTGAAAGAGTGCTCTGGTTTGAGTTTGGGTCAATGGCTCAAGCCAACTTTTTCAGGAGTGGCATTACCTGCGCCATTTTAAACTGGTCTGGGAAACAGCACTCGCTGAATGAAAGATTTGGCAGGTGGACAATCAGCACAGGCACGTCCGAGAGCGATTTGAGAATCAACGTGTGGATGTAGGCACGGGGAGTGGTGGCTAATCACTACGCCACCGCTCCCCTGAGCGGGAATCAAACTCGGGTCTCTACCGGGTTCGCAGTGCATGCTAACTGCTGCACCACCGCTCATTGTCGTTGCTGTGCGCACATGGTGGGGTGTGGCAGGTGACGGACCATGATAATGGCACATACAGTGTGGAGTTCATGTTCTGGTGGGCGGGCGAGAGCCGGCTGGAGGTCAAGGTAGTGCACCACAGTGAGGCCGTGGGCGTCCTGGAGAGGGCCAGAGATTTTGTGATGGACAAAGTGAGCTTCCGAGGCAACTTCGTTTCCGGGAAGGTGAAGAGGACAACTACTTGCCACTTCGTTCTGGATGCCACCATCATCGCCACCAAGGATGTGTGCAGCTACGATGATGATCTCCTGGGCGAGAGGTGGGCCTGTGAAAGGCCGGACAATATGTCATGCGACGCCATGCAGTACCATTCGTCCTACGACAAGAAGCCCAGGATATTTGCCGACGAGAGAAAGGAACTCTTTATAGGGTAAATCCCTTTGGAACTCCATTCTACTCTGGCAGTTCTTCTACCACACTGCTGTTGAGTCTCTGCCGTGTTAATCGGGTGTGTGGGGGAAGGACAACAAACTAAACACAAAACGCATTTCTAAAAAAATGCTTTTCAATCCACAGTTTGCAATCTGGGTATGTGAGTCTCTATGTAAGTCTATGGGTCTCTGTGTGAGTCTATCGATCTATTTGATTCTGTGGGTCTCTATGTATTTATGTTGAACATCTTTCGCTATCGTGCGTAGCTAACTGTGATAATTGGAGGTGCGGGGAAGGACAACAAACTAAACACAAAACCAACATGATGAAAAAATAATAGGCTTTACCCTTTGCAGCTATGGATGCCAGTGGGGGGTCCCCTTACCTCGAACTCTCCCACGAGTTGAAATAGTTGAGATAAAATCTGATGTAAGGCACCTTGAGTTCCTGATATGTCAAGTGCCCTATACATGTAAAAGCATATCACCATCAGTTGCCGTGATCCATATGAACTGAATTGAGCAGTGAAAGATTCCTTAAACGTAAATGCAGTTGACGCATGCTCGCGTTGTATCGCTTAACAAGTTCTCTTTGAACAAGACTTCGCGATAACGATACATTTTGAATTCAGACCCAGTTTTGTTTTGCGAAACGAGCAAAAAAAATTCTGAGCTGAGTTGTTACAATTCTCGTTTCAGTGAATAGATCTTGCCAATGGATATTGTCTATCAAGTACAAGAGGCATCAGGAAGTGGTACGGACATCCCCAGTCTGCATGCTCGGACTGGCCATGGGCCGGTCGATTCTGACGACTGGCGGGCCTGGTTGGGGAAATGGCAAATGTGATTGAAGTTAAACAATTTTTCTAAAATTTTATTATATACAAAAAACGTTCTAAAATATTTCATGCACCGCAAATGTGTACGCTCCATTGCTTATTTACACTCTCAGTTGGTATTAAGCTGCCAGATATTCGGCAGCCCCAAAGACTATTCCTCATCGGCGGCCCATTTGTGTTTTTGGACTCAGACCCAAATGTGGCCAATAAGGTAATAATGGCAACGTCACGCTCACACGGTACATCGCTAATCTGGCTACGAGTACTACACAGTTTGTCGCACAACCAAACAAAAAATATATATTATGCATAGCCCGAATTTGGGCCAGTGTGTTTAAAAATGCCTGGGCTAATTTTCGGTCCCAGTCCATCAGTGCCAGTCTGGATGATGTACAGTGATGTTTTGTATCCACAATCGCTGGCATATGTTTAAATGGAATTGAACTTGACCTGTATTGGTGGTTATCACACTAATAGATCTTATCACACTGTCTCACCACTACCAATAACAACAATAGCCACTATTCGTAACCGAGAATGGTGACGTCACCACGGCATCTGTGCCAGGCCAGGTGCACTTTGAGGCCACGTGAAGTGTCGAGGCTTGCTGACAGGAGGTCACGGGACAGACCCAGGTGCCATGGTTTTACTGAGATGACTGGCAGATGCACCATCTGTGCCCCCTACTCTGTCAGCTACCAAAATCACAACCAGCACCACCATCATCGACAACACCACCACCACCACTATCATAAACCGAAGCATCAACACTATCGTCAATAACCACCATCACTACTACGATTTACATCAGCAGCAGCAGCAGCTTCAACAACCACCATTATCACCATCAACACCATCACCACTACGAACATCATCAGCAGGAGCTACAACACCACCATGACCACTAACAAACATCAACATCAGCATGAACACCACCATCATCAGCACCACAACTACGAACATCAGCAGGAGCATCAACACCACCACCATGCCAATGCATTAACAACCATCGTCATCATCATAAACACCATTAGCAACATCAACACCACCAACATCATCAGCACCACCAGTACAAACATCATCAGCAGGAGCATCAACACCACCACGGCAAAAAACCAACAGCGTGTACTGTGCGCAGGTAACGTGACTGGCACGTCATCATCGATGTCATCGTCGTCTCGGCCCTGCGTTCCGGGCCTCGGCAACCCACGTCCAAACGGCCACTACATCCACAACGCATGGAGGTCCTCGATCTGCGACAACCGGAACTTTGCCACGGCCCAGGAGGTCAGGTCGTGCCTCCAGAGCAAGGACGTCTATCTCCTGGGTGACTCAACCATCAGGCAGTGGTGGGACTATCTGAGAAAGTTTATTCCCGGTAAGGTGTCCCCAGTACTCCCTCCGACGATCGCACCTCTAATTAGCACGCTCCGATTCGAGGCTGTCCCATCAACCAGCCATCGGCCATGCCATTATCACATCACGATGACGAAGGCTGGAGCAGGTACCTGACCACGAATAACTACAGGGCCGATTTCCAATCTGATATTCACGTCGACGCTAATTGAGAGAAAGTGATTTGTCGTCAGCTTGTGGCGTTTCTCTAACTAAACAGCCTCATAAAAGACGCAGTTACTCCTCGATAAAGACAGTTGTCACCGCATCACGCGGCGCTTTCAGATGCGCTTCTGTGCCGTCTGGAACACTCTTCCGATAATAGGAAACCACTGCATTCAGATATTAACTTTTAAATCATCATCTAGATTTAAAATTCACTTCTTTACAACAACTTGTTGTGTTTAATTTGTGTCTTTCCGGGCACCTCCGATTAACACGGTTGGCTACGCATGGTATGATAAACAACATCCATACAAATATACAAACACACGGTGGGGGGTGACTGACTATGATAAATAATATATAGGCTTTGTTAATGCCAAAAGGCGAGGAGAACAAGGAAAATGCAAATATAAATATAATTAATGGCTCAGGTCAACCAGTTTTACCTGTCAGACTCTGCCAGTAACGTACATTAGCATAATGCATACATTGTCATCAAATTAAAGCAGTGTTTGTTTCATTTGTCCTTGTACTGTTCCCCTCTTGGCGTTGTTCTCTGATCTAACACCGGTGCATAGATCAAGAAGGATGTCGATCTCTCTGGTCTAGGTGAATCGGTGTCAAGGACAATGTGTAACATTGTTGTAAAAGCAGTGTTTGTTTACATGTTCTACCACAAGCATGATGTGTAGTTAATGGACATCTGTGAAAAAGAGCTTCATAGCTCATCGGATTCCTTCTGCTCTCTGAACACAGACTCTGATGCTGATGTATGTCCGTCCATCTTTGTGTGTGTCGCTGCATCTCAGTTCCTTATCTATTTCCACTCGCCATATCTGGGTTTGATCTTCCACGAAGCTCATGGTCCACCATAAACCGCATCCCACTGCACAGATCATGGTTGCAGATGCACAAATATAAAATAAAAAAACTCCAGAAGTGTGCAACTGTGGTCATCTAGTACCCACATGGCAAATTTCAAGTACGCTAAACATTTTGAACAGACACACATATTCACAAATTTCCCTTTTATGTATTTATATAGATAAATCTGTGAGCCATGCGGCTCTTGACTCGGGTGCAACGACAACAAACAAAAACATGAACAAGAAACATCTTAAAGTGACTGCACGCAACAGATAAATCCAGGAAAAAAACAGCAAAGTCGTCCAGAAAAAAAAACACCGTATATCAACGCTGTGTGCAAAAATCCCAGTGGGATGCAAGTCAAACACTAACAACCATAAGACATTTTAGATTCAAGTTATCAGGCTACCTCCATACTACAACAAACAAACATGGCTAAACCAAAACGTTTTCAAAATCACCAAAATAAAGCGATAAAAACAATGTAACAGTGATCATAGGAACTGTGATTCAAATTTAACAATCAACAATATACATAACATGTACGACTAAACTTTGCAGCCATAGCTGGCTGCATGAGTCACTCCATAACAGCAGGAGTATCAGTAGCAGTATCAACATTTTTCAATACACCTTTAAAGATCAGCACACTAATAAAACTCAAGATCATACTTTGTAGCGGTCATCGGGAACGATACATTTGATTTCAGGCCACTCTGAATAGCAGTGGCAGCTAGGGGTGTACAACTCCTCTAGAGCAGTTTTGAGTTAATATCTCACAGGTTGTGATCCAAGTTGCAGTTTATTGGTGATAGCATTCCAGACCCTGTGAGCATCAATATAAAAGGCCCTTCCTCCAGTGATTATGATTATGATCGCGCCTTGGGTGGAAAGGTTGTGTCTGGAAGTGCATTAAGCATGTTGATTCCAAAAATAAACTTAACTTTTTGACAACGTGATTTTCCAGGTCTACAAATACTGTACTGGACTGGTAGTTATATGTCCTGGTGAGATATGTGCAGTGATGCATAGCACTCATGCATAGTCCTGTCTTTCCTGGATTACCACTGTCCTGTATATATAGTCTTGCCCGGTAGTTGGCGATGAAATTGAATCCCATAATGTAATTAGTCACACTTGTTATATATCTAACCACTTCGTGGGTATGCCTACAGTGGTTGTCCTATGGATGGACTCGTCCCGTCATAGGAACATGGAATTTCCACCACTTGCCTAGTCAGGGCTGTTACACGCGCAAGTGTCATGCAGCCAACCAATTCGTGTGGATGCCGACAATGGCTGTCCTAGGGATTGACTCATCCTGCTATAGGAACGTGGAATTTCCACCACTTATTCAGTCAAGGGTGTTAGACGGCACGTGTCATACAGGGAACCACTTCGTAGGGATGCCTACAGTGGCTGTCCTATTGATGGACTCCTCTCGCTCTAGGGACATGGGATTTCCACCGCTTGATCAGGGCTGTTAAACGGGCAGGTGGTCGAAAATCATCCTCACCTTTAGACTCAATAACGATAAAGAATAAACTCCTTATTTTTATTACATCGGTTTTATTATTAACAACTTCGTTTAACTAACGTCGAGAAGTACATCAATAGCACCTGAGACACACGGTGCCTGCTTTTTGTGCGAGTCGATTCTACAGTTTTGGGACCGCGGCATTTTTTACCTACACAAATATATAAATAGTAAGGCGTCCATACAAAATGTAAATTGCTTTAAAGTAGCGAATTAATTTATTGATGCCCATTTTGATACAGACATGCATTGTCACCGGATCTGAGTATGTGTGCAAAATGTGGAATTGATTGGACAACGGGAAGTGGACGAAATTTTTATTACAAGATTTGACCACGACAAACAAGAGGAATCAAGTTAAATAAAACCGTTGAAAAAAGAAAAGGCTTTATTTACCCTTTCCAGTAAGAATACAGGAGGTGTTAAGATGTTTAAATACCAATTATACACCGATTATCATATCAAAGCATCGTAGAGTCTGCATTAACCACACATCTAGCTCGTGGTAAAATGAACATTTCAAGGACAACGCAAACAAACTCGCTTGATAATAATATACGCATTGTCCCTGAAACTTATTGGTCTACACCAGAGCTAGATCCTTCAGTATGCCATTGTCTCTGCACCAGTGTTCGATCAGAGAACAACGCTAAAAGTAGAGCAGTACAATGACGATGGAATTTTCAAAGCATTAATTCTCGGGTTGAACAGTTATATCTATGTGACCATTTCTTGTCAGAACTATCAAGATGATGACTTTGCTCACCAAGTCACTCTCACATGGGCACGTGTGCTGTGTCTGTCCGTGCTACAGATACGAAGAGTTCAGGCATCCTGACTCGGGGCAAGAACCAGCTGAGGATGGCACTGAACACCGATATGAACACCACGCTGCACTACTACTGCCACGGCTATCCCGTGCTCACGCAGTACACGTTCACGAAGGACGTCGAGTACGTCTCAAAGCGAATTGACGCAATCGGAGGAGGGGACGGAGGAGGAGGAGGAGGTGGAGGAGAAGGAGGGCGCGGAGTGGTCGTCGCAATCAGCCTTGGCGCGCACTTTGTGCCCTTCCCGCTGGCCATCTTCCGTCGGAGGCTTCTGAACATCAGGGCGGCGCTGCAGAGGCTGCATGCCAGGATCCCCGAGGCCACAGTGGTGGTGAAGCTGGCCAACACTCGTGAGACGGCCAACAACATTGAACTGTACAGCAATTGGAACACGTTTCGCTTCAACGACGTGACACTGGAGGCCTTCGGGGACCTCCGCGTGGCCTTCGTGGATGCATGGGATATGACGGCGGCGATCGGCATGCGGATGGTTCACCCCACCGGCTGGGTCGTCAAGAATGAGGTGGACATGTTTTTGTCCTACGTCTGTTGAGCCTTCGGATCCATGACCGGTCCCTCGCCCTGTGTGTATCAATCTGTGCATGCTCGGTGTGTAAACATCAGCACTGGCGAGACAAAGGCATGGTGCTGGCCACCCACCTCTTGGTGTGCTATGCCGACCTTCATAAGTGCTCGCTAACAGACTGTGAAGGCTATATGTTGGATCTTTGTCGTTGTCTTTGTCGGCTCAGGATGTGTTCTTCGTAGATGGAGTACATTACGAAACAGCGTTAGAGGAGGTCATTATAAATGGTTCCAATGGAGATGCGTCACCTTTGTCGTTGTCTTTGTCGGCCTTCAGAATGCGTTCTTCGTAATAATAATGATGCTGTACACCTTATACATGTATTAAATCATATTATGAATACAAATATGACAATGACAATTGCTTGATGACGATTGCTTGTGTGGCGATCGAAATGTCGTGATCTATTTTTTTTTCTACCTATGTACTTACCTTTGCATTCGGTCTGTCGTAAACGTACGTTCCACAGGAACATATACTACTTGCCAATGCATCAACGCAGTGATTAACTATCGATGAATCAATACTCTAACGTGGCTGTCAGATCGACTGAGCAGAATGAATAAAATAGAAACATCGATTCAGGTTCCACATGATCACATGTGGGCCATGGTGGGGAGCGGTAGTGTAGTGGTTAGCATGCTTTGCTATGAATACAGTGACCCTGGTTCGATTGCCACTCACAGCCAACACCAGTGACGATTATCTGAACCGGTCCTGGGCCTCCCCTAGTCGACTCAGCCTCAAATTAGTACCTGGACCGGTGTGTAAGCAACACCACTTAGGAGACAAAGGCGGTCGGACGTGATTCTGGCCACCCACCCCCTCGTGTACCGTTCTTGCCTTCATAGGTGCTCGCTAGCAGCACTTGCCCCTACAGTCTGTTAAGGCTATACCGGGGATCTTTGTATTTGGTGTGGATGGAGGTTGGGTGTGTAGTTGGGTTAGTTTGCAAGGTGCTGGCAACCTCTCCAAGCTCGTGCTGGAGGCCCCAGGGGACAGACTGAACCCACGTCTTGGCGTAGTTCCAGGAGACTATTGCAGTTGCCAACGTGGAATGTTCAAACTCTCGCCATGGAGGAGAGGCTGCCATTGCTCTGTCAGGATATGGACAAGTATCGCCTGGACCTCTGGAATACAAGAGGTCCGGGGAACTGGTTCTGCTCCGGTCACCATGAGGGGTGGACAGTCCTCCACTCGAGGCATGAAAATTCCAAACAAGAGGCTTCTGTTGCTTCTAAGCAAAATAATGAAGGGGTGTGGGAGCGTGGAAGTGAGGTTTGGGAAGCTGTAAGCCCCAGACTACCGTGGGCTCACTTCCCGATCAACAAGTCGGGAAAGGTGGTGGTGGTTGCTTATTCCCCCACCAAAGATGAACATCAGTCGACAGATGCAGACAAGGCCGATTAGTTAAACGCATTTATGACCTGTCCCAGATACGAGCTAAAGTGCACCCCCGGGATAGAGTCATCCTGTTGGGTGACTTTAATGGGCAAGTGGGTAATGAAACAAATACCTAGGCCTAAGTGATTGGAAGGCATGGGCCAGATCAGATCAACAACAACAGTATGAGGCTACTAGACTTCAGTGCAGCCCGGGGCTTGTAATTACGAACACACTGTTCCAGCATGAGCGCATCCACACAGCAGCCTGGATGCACAAATATCTGATCAACTATATACTGATGGAACAGTGGATGCAAGCCCATGTCCTTAACACGACACTAGGACCTGCTATGGAACTGATCTGTCCATTGACCGTCGGATTGACATCTGTAAGATGTCTGCCTTCCACTCTGGTAGTGTCCAGTTAGGACCATATTCAAACCCACAATAGCCTGGTCTCAGCTAGCTGAAGATAGTTGCAAGTAGGAAGTTCAATATTACTTTGAGCTGGGGTTGGCATCGTCCCCCCCTCTTCCTGATGCTGAGGGGAAATGGGTGAGGTTCAGGACTGTTACTCATGCAGCCGTAATGGCTGCATTTGGTGGGCAGTCCAGACCTCCCCAGAAACCCTGGCTGAAAAAGGAGGTGGTCCAGCTAATTGAACGAAAACGACAGGCCCACTCCTATCGTCTACATATCGCAGAATGAGGAGGCTTACCGCTGCCTTTGCTCGGAGATTCTGAGAGCTGTGTGGTGCTGCAAGGATGAATGGTGGTCGCGGGTTACTGTGGAGATGGAATCGGTCTCGGTAGCCCACGATCACAAGTCACTTTTTAATTACATAAAAAAGTAACTTACAGTACGTCACCTATCACCACCCTTCACGGAAAGAACAGTGATCTGATCTTAGACCCCCAGGAACAGGTCTGCAGGTTTGCAGAGCATTTCTGTGAAGTCTTGAGGGAGGGGAATTCTCTCATCCCAGATATCATGAGGCAAGGTGGGGACGACCCTGCTGAGACTGCTGTTCCTCAGAGTAGCAGGCCAAAGTGAAATCTATTGAAGTACTAGGGACGATCCGCAGTCTGAGACCAAGGAAATCAACTGCTGAGGGAGGGTGGAATCTGTGTGCAGACTGTCCTACATTACATGATCACAATATTCAGCACCACAAGACAGGTTCCACAGGATTAGAAAAATGCCATCGTGGCTCCCCTCTTTAAAAAAGGGGGGGGGGGGCACACAGACTGTAATAACTACGTGGAAATCTCCCTCAGTGTGCAGGAAAATATTCTTGCCAGTCATGCTGAGGAGAGGCTTGCGGAGCCCCAATGTGGTTTCAAGCTTGGGCGGTCCTGCACCTCTGATTAGAATGGTTGGCTCCATACAGTGTAAAAGAAATTAAACATATTTTCTGACTTTAAAACCCTGCTGCTTCAACACTTTAACACAGCTATTTCAATGCTAAATTTCAAGTAGTGGTATACCAATCATATTGCTTCCGAACTTTCTATTAAACCCTATTTTGCTACTCCCCCCTTACAGCACATTCTTGCCGATTTTTCATTTTTCTATTTTCCGTTTCTATTGCACACACACAGTGACGCATCACCCTCTACACAACAAAAAGACGGATTAACTCAGCTCCGCACCCCACCAAGGTCCCCTACATGGCTCCTCCACCCCCCTCCCCCCCTTAACCTGCATTTAAGCTTTTCTATTTCCCCTGTTTTCTACTCCCCCCGTTACAGCACATTCTTGCCGAACTTTAATTTTTTTAATTTGTTTCTTTCTATTGCACACACACAGTGACCCATCCCCCGCAATCTCTACACAACAACAGGATGCTAATCTTCCAGTTACATGCCAGTTTTCTGACTTTAACACCCTGCTGCTTCAACACTTTAACACAGCTATTTCAAGGCTAAATTCTCCTGTTTGATATGTAAACTCCTTTGTCAAGGCGCTCTGCTCCTCCCACCGAGCTTAAAAAGACGCTGCGAATATTAGCAGCGTTTATTGAAGTGCTGTCGTCTCGAGAGTTCTGTTCCTTCACCTGAAGAAGGCCACTTGTGTTGTGGCCGAAACGTCGTGATTTTTTGTCGTTTTATTTTTTACCTACGTGACTTTACCGAATAGAACCAAAGAGTATGGATCCTTGCAGTCACGAAAGCTTCAAATCTAGGTCCGCTGTCTGAGCGTCGTTGTGTTTCGTTAAATTCTCCTGTTTGATGAGTACTAGGTGCCTCGGCGAATGTATATGCTCTGACTTTAATGTAGCTATTTCTGTGACCAGTTACAAGCTAATCACTCAGCTATTTTAATGCTAAATTATATGCTAATTCCTTTGTCAAGGCGCTTGGTGTTTTTCTTCTCACAGCTTAGAAGTCGTGATCTAAGCGTGGCTTCTCCCATTCCAGCGCTGTCCTCCAGACAGTCTCGTCCCTTCACCTGATGAAGGCCGCTTGTGTTGTGGCCGAAACGTCGTGATTTTTTGTTATTTTATTTTCACCTACGTAACTTTACCCAATAGAACCAAAGAGTATAAACTCTTGGTTTTTCTTAATTTTAGGGTCCATGAATCTAGACTCACAATCAATATGGACCTGCATGATGGTCGGCAGGCCTGGGTAAAGTTAAATGGTTGGGAATCAGAGCCATTCCCTGTTCACGTTGAGGTGTGACAAGGTTGTCTTCTGGCTCCTATATTATGGTGCATCATCTTCGACCACTTAGCTTTAGAAGCCTTTCATGGCTGTACCAGATGAATTGCCATCTGGTACAGATACAATGGGAGGCTGATCGATGCATGGGTGTGGTTAAAGAATGTTCGCTGATTAACTGGAGGTCGCTTCTGTCTAGACATGCAGCAGAAACAGTAGAAACGTTACTTGCCGATGTGCTTTTCATTTTATTAGCCACAATTAACAGGGTGTCTTAGGTAAACATCCACACAAACACTCGAGAATAACAAAAGCTCCATGCCAGGTCATACCAGAAACATGACTGACACTGTTCAAAGATGTTGGGAGTCGTGTCAGAAGATGCGTCGTACATCGAGTTCCTGCGTCGTAAATCGATCCGTGGTGGCGTAAATCTGAAAGTCTTAAATCGGAGACACCTGTATTTAAAAAGTACAAGTTTCCCTGGAACCTAAGTGGAGAAAACTATGTAAATAAACCAATGAAGTTGTCTAACTGGCGTTTTTTCATCTGGCAATTATCGAACCTTTATGAGAACATATGACACTGGGTATCCGCCCACCTCAGTGTTGAGACTAAATTATTCATAAATCTGAAACGGCTCCTGGGCCTGACTTAGGCCTAAGCTGTGTCAGCTACAGCTAAGGGCCTCACAATATGAGGGGTTCTCTAAATACAGCAACAAAAATAATACGAAGTTTAAAGTTGTACATAATCGGTTGAGAAATAAAGATGAGACAGGGAGAGAGGTAGTCTATTGGTGCCCTACGTACCAGACAAATATCCGAGTTCGAATCCGGCTCATGGCTACCACCACCATTACCACCACTAACACCAGAATCTAAAATCTTAAGCTTTTTTCACAGTTGTCCAGTAGGGGCAGGTCAGAAAGTTACAACAAACAATCAAAATAGACAAGAGGAGTGCAAAGTATAGGAAAGACAAGCAAATCCACTGAACGATTAGATTATTTTTTAGAAGCATGTAGCATAGTATCGACAATGCTTGATTATTGCAACTCACTACCCTCCGGGATATCTGTCAAAAACATTACCTAGCTGCAGCGTGTACAATCATCTTTGGCACGTGTCATGTTGCCGAATGAATTCATTATGGGGGCGCACACACTGCACACAAAGTACTTGCCAAAAATGGACCACAATACCTTACTGATCTTGCCAAAGAGCATGAATCATCACGCAAGCTCCGGGTATCTTCACAGAGTAGCTTTTGGTTTTCCATCGAGCAAAGATGGTCACTGCATCGCGCGTTTTCAGATGCGCTTCTGCGGCCATTTTGATTGCTCTTTCTTTTGATATTAGGACGCCACTGGAGCTATGCACTTTTAAATAATCTAGATTGAGACCTTATTTATGTATAATAGCTTTTTGGGCGTCGTTTGTTGTAATTCCCCCGCATCTCCGTTTAGCATAGTTGGCTACGTAGAAGTTCAACATACATACATGCAACACAATCAAAGACAACAATTGCCCGTATAGCCTGAACAGACTGTTGGTGCAAGTGCTGTTAATGAGCACCTATCAAGGCTGGAAGGGCAAATGAGAGGGTGGGTGGTCAGCACCACGCCCGGCCGCCCTTGTCTCCCTAGTGGCGATGTTTACATACGGCACCAGGAACTAATTTGAGTCTGAATCGACCTAGGGGAGGAGGCTGAGAACAGGTTTAGATAATCGTCACTGGTGTTGGCCATGAACTGGAATCTAACTCGGGTTACCAGGTTTGTAGTGCAGTACGCTAACCGCTACACTACAGCAACCCAACACCATCACCACCACTAACGCCAACACCATCACGAACACTATCACAATCACCACCATCACAATTATTTTGCAATGTATCGAGCCAACCGTGCTAATCGGAGGTATGGGGGAAGGACAACAAACTAAACAAAAAGCAGTTCTACGGAAATGAGTTTGCCAATCGAGATGATTTTAAAGTGCATAGCTCTAGTGGCTTCCTAATATCAGAAGGAAGAATGTTCCAGACGGCCGCAGAAGTGCATTTGAAAGTGCGTGATGCGGTGACCATCTTCGTTCGATGGCCAGCTAAAAGCCACTGTTACTGCGAGGATGACCGGAGTTCGCATAATGATAGTTTATGTTCTTTGACGAGATCAGCACGCTATTGTGGTTCATTTGTGGCAAGCACTTTGTGTGTAATGAGTGTGACCTTATAATGTATACAGAATGTAGGTATAAAGACTAAACATATATAGTGATAAAAAAGTACTTTCCGTATATTTTTCCCCTTAATTTATCATTGTTTCATTGTGCGTTTAACATCATGTCAGAAGCCAAATAATTACATTGAGAAATTGTAATGGATCCTTACTCTCTAAAGCTAAACCAGTTCCACTCCGTGAGTCTGAGTCTATTTATCTGTGAAAGTCTATGGGTGAATCTGTCAGTAGTCACGTCTCTGTGAATATGTGTTTCTATGTCAATCATTGCTGACTCGGTTGCTAAGGCAGCAATTTATTATTTGAATTCTTGTAAAGCGACAACATTTATGGGCGGGTTTAATTAAATTGTAAACAGAGGACAAAACCACATTTAACAGACAAAGCTTCAGGGAGAGACCAGGACAGCCTGAGATCGGGTTGTCCTAGCCAAGCGAGGATTTTTTTTTATAGCTTTACACGGAACTAACACGGTATATAGGTTCAACAGAATCTCTATAATTTGTTGGTATCTATGGGTGAATCTGTCAGTAGTCACGTCTCTGTGAATATGTGTTTCTATGTCAATCATTGCTGACTCGGTTGCTAAGGCAGCAATTTATGATTTGAATTCTTGTAAAGTGACAACATTTATGGGCGGGTTAAATTAAATTGTAAACAGAGGACAAAACCACATTTAACAGACAAAGCTTCAGGGAGAGACCAGGACAGCCTGAGATCGGCGTTGTCCTAGCCAAGCAAGGATTTTTTTTATAGCTTTACACGGAACTAACACGGTATATAGGTTCAACAGAATCTCTATAATTTGTTGGTATCTTAAACATTCACTCTATGAGTGTTGATTGTTTACACTGGAAAGCCTCTCGGTAAAATTGCTGCCTTCGTTAAAGATGATTGGGAATGGTTGACCAGACTTCTGGCTTCTCTAAGTTGGGGTCTTGCATTCTCCATCTTCATCCAAGCCTGTCCGGTGCAACTTAAAAGCTGTCTCACAAAGACAGCAGTCATCGATAAGTGACGGTATGAAATCATCAGTGCAAGATTCTCTCAAAGATACATAGTTAATACAAATGCGAACATAGTCCATAAAAATACTCTACTCCTCCCGCCAACCTCTAAAGCCTTTAGATATTGTTTTGGCAAGTGCTATTTGCAAGCACCTATTAATGCTGGCATGGCCAAATAAGTGGTTTTGTCGCCAGCATCACACCCGATTGCAATTGTTACTTCATTATGCATTGTATTACATACACATTCTTTATATGACACACCCATGGTGCTGTTAAAATACTGACGTGTGTGAGTGAATTATTCAGTTAGAGCAGATCATATTTTGTGTTTCTTACTCTTACCTGTTTGAGGGGCTCTGGATGCATCTTTCTAACTCTCTTCCTCCGATATTATTCAGTAGAATTACTTCACGATGCCTGTAACGGCAGAAGTGGACACACATCGTTCACACATCACCACCTTGACTTACATCGTGCCTGTCATTGGATGGGGATCGAACCCAGATGTCCCAGCTGCCAAACACTTCCATAGAATAATTACAATAACATTTACTCCGTCTATCATTTTGCTCACCTTTATTTAAGCGTGTGCGAGCCCATTGAGATTCATTATGTTTTATGATTGATACGCCTTAACTAGGATATATTTAATTCATATTGCTCATTAAAACTGACGCCCTTTACCTAACTGTGTTAGAAAACATCGAGATTGATTATCTCTAATGATTGACGTCCTTAATCGTTTTAAGTAATAAATCATTTGAAAACGCATTTCTTGAGAACTGCTTTTTGTGTTTAGTTTCCTGTCCTTCCCGCGCACCTCTGATTAGCATGCTTGGTTGCGTACGGTGCAAAAGAAGTTCAACATACATGCATACTTTGCGATCCTGCAATTACAGCAAAGCATAAACTACAATGAAATGCAAATTAAAATGACAAAGTTACATATAGTAAACAATTATATCCGAGCAAGCCTTATACATTTGATACGGCCATTATGAGCTGTGTGCTATTAACCACTCTGTACTATCAGTGCAGGTGCAGTCAGTACTCACGGGGCTGCTGTTCTACAGATTACTGAATGCCAGTATTTTCTCTTCCAGCAAATATAAATGATAATAAGGACTGCAGCATGGACTCCAAGGGTGATCGTAATGATGGCTCTGTAATGCAGCTTGCCATATGGCACATCTGTTGTTGGCGTGGGAGTTGTGGTTGCAGTGGGAGTTGTGGTTGGAATGGGTGTTGCCGATGTTTGGTCTATTAAAAACAAAGGCACACACAAGCACGTACACTTACATACACAGGCAACGTGCAATGCGGCTTTCCAAGTGGGGCTCAAAACAAAATTTCACACATTCCTCTAAGCTGCAGAGGGTATATGTAGAAAGATTGTAACAGGAATGGCACCAATCTTGAAAAACGTGTTAACTATACTACTCACATACCAGATTTCATCGCAGATCGCCCATGCCTTCCTAACATTTGACTCAACTCAAAATAAAGTTTACGTTACTGTACCAATTGAGCACATCTAACCAATGTCTAAATTTACTTAAATTGCCTGAAAAATGAGGCTAAACACATTATTTGTATTTATAACATTTGCCAAATGGCATAGCCTTCTTGACTTTTATTCACAATTGCCTTGGTGCACAACCTATTTTTACAACAAATGACGACTCAATATGAGCCTCGGTTGGTGACTGATTCTAAAGTGTTGGGCATTGTGTTAATCCCGTTATGTCAGCACGTTTAAGGAAAATTGTACCATCCATCGTAGTTTGACCTGAACTACCAAGTGGCAGTCCCTTATAGATCGAGGGCTCAAAAGAAAATAAAACTCGATCATGTTATAAATCGATAACCACGCCTCCCACGAACTAAACCACTCAATCCAACACTCACCAATCACAACAATAACTATTTACTGGGTATATTTTTAAGCAATAAAATATACTTGACAAATATAAAATAAATATACGAAACAACGTAATCACATTTTTATAAACAAACGGTAATATAAATCCCAGAAAATGCAATGCAACAAAACAGTTTTAAATACCACCGATGGTGCAGGCATGTTATTGGCTGTGAACATTGTGAGGGCATGAGGCATCATTTTTACAGGAAAGAGATGGTCGTGGTTGGGGTCCAGTTAAGGGTTGATGGAAGGCATCGGTACATTAATTCAGGTCGGTTGAGAAGGGCTCCGAAAAACAATAAATAGCCTGGTTAATGGCTCCTTCAGCACACCTTCCAGAAGCTCCCTATGAATGTGTTCTGTGTTGAGAATACTGAATGCTGGACTCAATTTGTAATGTACTATCACTTGTTTCGCATCTAAATCAAGAAATGTTACTCCTGTGAAACTAGTTGTCATTTATTGTTGCAGTGAAATTGAGATGTATTGTGGAATGTTTGAAAGCTGCATTTTATTCATATAGACTTCATTGTTTTTCTCATATCTTACAATCATTGAATTTAAACAGACATTGCGATAAACTGTTCAGAATACTTTTTTTCTGTCTTTCTCAATGAATAATGCACCGTAGAATATATTAATTACATTTCATGGAATAATTTTGTATTATAGTACTATTATTATAGGTTTTATTTTTTAACAATGTATGCTAAGTTGTATTACAGGATGTTAAATTATTTGGACAAAACATTTCCCAAAGCCAAAAATTGAGGAAGACCCCACAGTGCGTAAGTAGTACTAAAAGGGGTCATTGCTGTGTCATGCACTGTGTAACGCACATTACAAATGAACAACTTCAAATTTCAGGCATCCTGCCTGAAACACTTTAGGCTATTCAGGGACAACTCAATGTCAGAGGAAGAGTCTAAATTTTCACGTCATAAATTTGAGGTCATCGCTTGCAAACTTTAAAGTAAAAACCTGAACATAATTGTCTCAAGTTTTCTGGCCTTGAAATTGAGGCTTGTTCCCCTGAAATTTGAGTTGTCCCTTAATAGTCTGAAGTGCTTCGGCCAGTATACCTGAGAGTTTCAGGAAATTTCCCGAAACGTTTTAAGAGTGTATTTTTCTGTTAATCTGCCACAACAATGTTAACTGACCTGCCATGTATTGCCTATACAGGCAGACCTCGCTTAGCACTTAAGATACGTTTCTGGAGAAGTGAGTACTAAACGAAGTAGTACTAAAAGGGTCATTACAACAATGTATGCACGGTAAAGCGTTCGTTATTTATTTCTTATGAGCAATATATCAGGTCATAATTTGGGTATCGGTAATCACCCTAATAATAATAACAATAATACAGGTGATAAACTTTATTTCACACCATATGAGAATAGGTTTTCCCTTTTTTCTGGCAACAAAACAGGTGTTAAGATGTTAAAACACCAAACTGAAACCATATACAAGGAATCATGTCTGCATTAACCACAATACTTGTGGTCAGAATGCAAACAAAAAACATACTCTAATAATATATGCATTACTCTTTGTCTTTGAAACTGATTGGTCCACACCAGACAGCTTTTTTTCGAGCCTAGTCTCAAACGGTGTTAGACCATGAAAATAATGGTGTATTAAAATATCAGTATGATGCACTCTACTCACATTCTACTGCACTTTCACAAGGCAGCAGTGTGAGACAAGGTTTTAGGAGCTGCTGTGCTCCCATTCTGGGTCTTTCTCAGTGATAAACCCCAGCACCTCCGTGACCTTAGTGGTGCCCTCAGTCAAAATTTTTGTGGGGAGGTTTATTTTTGGTGGAGCCTGATACTCTATTTGATCTCGTGAGAAGACAAATATGCTCTATCAGCCAGCCGCTCGCCTTGCACATGGCCCACCACAGATCACCACCAGACTAACACTGAGAAGTAAAAAAATCGATGAAAGTTTATCGATTATTTTTTTTTATTTTTTTGTGACTATGAGTGGGGTCTGGTCGGCTGCCTGCAGCTAGTAGGACCTATCTTGACTTTCCTTCTCCTTGAAGTCAGAAATTGCCTGGCAGAGGATGTGGCGCCATTGAGGTCGGTTGAGGGCTTGCCCTTACCAGCTTGTGATGTCCACGTCAGTTTTTTTTAAAGATATCCTTTCAGTGTGTCTTTGTAGCAATTCCTCTGACAAACATAGGAATTCTCACTGCAGGTGAGCTGGGAGTCGACGGCTTGTTTGGTGAGATGAGAATTCGGCATCCACACAAACAATATCTGGTCCAGCGAAGTTTGTGCGTGAGGATCATTACCTCGATGCAGGTGACAATTGGCTTCAAAGAGGATAATCGAATTTTTCCACTGGTATTCCCACTCGATGTGATGAATCTTCCAGAAGCATCGTTTGGCAGTACCTCTCCAGATTGGTTTCACTAAATTGGTTTCACATCCCTCAAGGAATATAGGGATGATGACTGCATTATACACCTGAATCTTGGTATTCTTCCGTAGGTCACAGTTCCGTGAGAACACGTTGTATAAGTTTTGAAAAGGAAGCACTTGTATGCTGGATCCTGTGATTCATTTCAGTGTCCATGTTGGCACTTTGAGAGAGATGACAAGCGAGGTAACAGAAGTCCTCAACTGTCTCCAAAGAATGTCCTCGATGGTGATCTGTGGTGGGTCATGTGCACGGCGCGAGGCAGGCTGATCGAGCATCTTTGTCTTCTCGATGTTACATGAGAATCCTAGGCTTTGGTAAGCTTGTAAAAAAGGATCCAATGTGGACTGGAGGTCAATCTTTGTACGTGCGAGATTGGCACAGTTAACTGACGATACAGAATGAATGCCTTGGATACTTTCGTTTTGAGCAGAGACAATGAAGATTAAAAAGCTGCCCATTCATTCTCTATCGGCTGCCAATTCCAGTGAGAAACAGTCTTTAACGTGAACCAGAATGACTGCTAAGAAGATATAGAACAGTGTTGGAGCAATAACACCTCCTTGCGTAACCCCAGTTTTCATTACGAATGAGCTCCTTTTCAGTACTAATAGAGAAAACAGTGGCATTCATCTGACCGTGAATATGCCTTAGCAACTTAATACATTTCGTATTGAAGTTAAATCTGGCCAGTACCTTCAATAGGGCGTTACAATTGAATCAAAATCATAATCTGTATATTTCCTGAAAAAATCCAATGAGCTATGAAGCTATTTTTCAAAAATGTCCAGTAAATTTACATGAAGCCTTGTAAAGGGCCATTGTTAAATTGATGAAGACCATGTACAGGTTCTGATTGTGTTCCCGACACTTGTCCTGGACTTAGTAAGCAATGAAGATCATATAAGTGGTCCCGCGTGATGGCCTTGACCTGCACTGAAATTCCGGCAATATTTTCTCTGTGAGAAAATTCCCTGCAGTAGGAATCAAGGCAGATCAAGCCAATACCTTGATAATGTCCACATTCCAATGTATCTCCTTACTTACATATTATAACAATGATTGCATTGTATCAAGTCCTCCGGAACCTTGTCATTGTACCAGATTTGAAGAATGTTTGTGGAGCATCTCTATCAGTTCTTCACCTCCGACCTTGTAGACTTTAACTGGTATGCCATCTGGTCCTGCAGACATGTTCTACTTGGCTTGTATGATAGCACTTCTTACTTCTTTGAAGACAGCGGGGAGGGGGAGGTTAGCGAGAGGGATGGATTCAAATAGTGGAATCAATGACTCACGGTACAGTAGTATTTCGAAATGCTCCTTCCATCTGACTTCATTTTAATTAAGGAGCATTGACCAATAATTGGGCTCAACGTGGCGTGGGACCATAGGTGCTTGGACTGTAAATGACCCTTGTAGCCTAGAATAAAGCTCCTAATGACATGTATATCAGTGTGAAGCTCGATCGTTTTGTCCTTTTCTTGCCACAACTTGTTTTTAATATGTATTTTTTGTTTGGGCTACAACATTGATTTGCTGGTTTGACTGTTTCTTCTGCTGGTGTCAGATGTTATTTTTCCATATACGAGGGGATTACATTTTCTAGTCGGGCAGGTTCTGCATTTTAGAATAATTCTAATCAAACCAATCTTGGTTCGTACTTCACGCTCGTCTTTTGGGCTAGCAAATCCGATTAGCAAGGTTGACTACATACAGTGTGAAAGCTCAACATACATACATACATATCTCGTGCTTAAGAAATATCAACCCTCACCTCAACACTGCAATGAGGGTATACCAGTCTGTGGTGATATTCCAAAGATATTTCACCATGTGACTGTGGATATGGTAACCAAAGGAACGCAATTTTAACTCTTGCCTGTAAAAGATGCGTTACAGGAAAATTCGAGAGTATCAGGAAAACCACCACCATACGTTATTATGTAGCTCACGAACCTCAACTTTCAAGTTTAGCTTTTCACCCATAACCTCGTAATATACCAGAAGAACGACTCAACTTCGGACATCTGTGGCACCCTTTCGTTGCTGTGATCTTGGCATTTTGGACCTGTCAGCCTTTGCTTTCATATAATGAAATGTGATAACTCATCATATGTTTTTGATTATTTCAAAGCAACCCTAGTAGTGTGGTTACATTGGTATTTGTGTTGGTGGTAATGATATTGTTACTGCTAATGATGATGATGATGCTTACAGAGTATTAGAAATATGAGAAGATGACACCGGTCCATTATTTAATGAATGCAGGTCAGGATTCCTGTAAAAGAATACAAAACAAATTAACAGACACCCAGATCTTCATTGTACTGTGTAGCAGGTGTGGACTTACCTGTGATGAATCGCACATACAATTGATCACTCAACAGCATGTCAGAGTCCCCCTGTGGAAATTGAGAGTTTGGTATCTTGCTGCTGCATTTTACGTGTTCGGGTGAAAATGACACGTGAATTAAGGCATAAAGTGCACCATACAGTTACTATCAGTAAGGTGAAGTATCACGTAATGCATAGTAACTCAGGGATTGCAACCTAAGTCACAAGTACACATTAGGCCACGCCCAGACAGCAGCTTACAAATTCATTTTGAAAAGGCTGAAGATGGGTAAGCGTGCATTGTCTTGGAGCTTAGGTGTACATTTTAAAATTAATAATAATACACTTTAATGATAATTATGAGACATCAATGTTAATTTACTGTTAGCTAATTGGCTAATGGAGGTTAATTTATGTATAGTTACATTTTATATGAAAGTTGATTTTAATAATTTTATATATAAAATAGCTGTGGCATGTGGGATGATGCTGTGTCTCTTGGTAACAGTTGAAGGCACGATTTGTTATTTTAAGCATTTTCTTTGTTTTTGCGTGATTTACCGTTTTTGGCACAGCAGTGTAAAAGGAAATGGCGTCAGCGACCTCATTGTCAGATCAGATCAGATATGGCAGCATACGGCACGACAGCGCATTGCCACATCCAATTCGAGGTGCCAGCCATCTGGATTCCCCTTGGCGACCTCCCAACCCAACGTCCTTACCATGCCCAACCCTCAATAATGGTCATCCATCTGCTGAAGCCATGCAGCACATAATCACCCTCTTCGTCTCTTCCACCTCCTTATGGCTGATGCCATTTCAGCACAGAGAAGCTGGTTGGTAGGTTATACCATTCGGAAACACGTGCCACGTGCACGTTTATCAAGGAGGTCATTAGTCCCATCTCAGCTTCCACGAGTATGCTTTAGTTTGAAATAAAGTCAACCCACCAATATCCCCGAATTCTTATGAAGGATTTTGTGACAAAAGAGTTCAGTTTTAACTTCAATTACTTATTAAGTATCTATACCTGTCAACCCCTTATCAGTGCCTACTTTATTACAGATCAATTCAAATCTTATTGGTCACCCCGTGTCCTTAAATATCTCAGCGTTCATCCTATAAAGTCCCATCATAAGGGAGAAACAAACAAATATACATATGTTGGCCTGTATTGGATCGGCTGTACGCCGTATGGACCTAAAAACGAAATTTCCTTGTAAATGAATACAGGCAAACCATATGGGTTGACAGGTATGAGTATTTAAGTCTCTTCTCCGTAAAGGACGACTATCGCTTTGAAGACCTGAACCTGTAACCTCCAGTCCAGATGATGGCATTGCCAGACACTATGATTGAACGTTTCCATGGCCTCTTTTCCACGTATTTGGACGTATTTAGACTTCTGGGCCTGGCTCACAGTGCCATGGAAATTATTTGGACGTGCGGGAGTCTTTGGACCTCTGTCTCTGAGCTCCCATTATCCTGAATAACACTACCTGGTAAGTGAATCTCTTCATCACTTCTACATTTTCGCTCACTTTGACTGGCCATATAGCTTAATCCACGGAGTGACAAAATGCCTATATTTTGTCTTCATCCAGCAGACCTGTAATCCAAAGGTTTTAGTTCCAGTTCCAGGATCTCAGGAGCTATAACAAGGACTTTGAGAGACTCAGCAAAAATCACAGTATCTTCAGAAAAGTATGTAGTTCTACCAGTAGATGGGGCAGCATTGAGTAGTTGTTAAAAAATACTCAGCCCATTATTCTCGTTCTGATAAGAGCCTTCTATCGCTTGCATTGATTGAGGTTCCCTAGTACTGAGGCTTTGCACGTAGACGTTGTAGGGCTAGGTAAGCAAGTCTAGGGTTGCCATTCCACAGGCGACCCTCTACCTCCCCTCAACCCATCACCCAAGAGGATCTCACCTCGCCACTCAGTTTCCTGTGCGCTTCCATCTTACCATTCAGTCTTCTTGTGTGGCTCTTTTCAATGGTCTTCAGCATCTCTACAGATGTAAAGTGATGTTTTTTGGAAAGTTTCACTCCAATGCATTATTTCAGTGGTTCTTAACTTGGGGGGCACGCCCCCCTCAGGGTGCGAGAATGCAAGATTGTTTTAGAAGTCAGGATCCTGCGATTCTCAGCCCTCTTTCCTTTGCAAAGTCTGGGAGAATCGAGCCAATGGTGTTCTGTTTAAAAGCTTCATGGGGACCCAATACAAATTTATAGCCAGCTCAATTGATGCCACCGAATATATTAAAGTCACACAATGTGGCCAATGGATTAGTGTAGAAATGTTCCTTCTCAAGATCACTCTCTTCGGTTGGAGCGTACGCTGAAATGCAAGAGATGCATTCCAAGGAGTGCCTCATTCTCATGTACATTAAACCCTAATCAATGGCCTGGATCTTCTTTACTGGCAGGGCCAGCCGTGAGGAGATTGAAAATGCTATTCTTCTCCGATGCACGCCCCCAGCGTATCCAGATCAGTGGAAGGTGAAGCTACCTACACTTAAGAAGTTCAACATACGTACTACATCTCTCCAATGCCCGGACGGTGCACCTCGGACAGAGCGTCCACTTCCACTCTGATGTCACGCAGCTCCCTCGCCAGTAATGGTAGCTTTCCATCGTCTTTTACGGTTAGTAGGTTCCAGGAGCCAAATCGGATGTCCTGCTTCAGGTCTACCCTAGGGCGAAGCGCATGAAGTGGTTGTTTCCTTAGCATCAGTTTGGCAAGACGAGTCCCCACCTGCCGACAAGTGATCATTGGCGTGGGTGGCGATGGTTCACCTGGGACAGATAGTAAGAGATCTTGATCTTGGATCGTATGCTCTCAACAGACAGACTTTAAACAACGCCGAGTTCCAGGCCTGAGCTAAACCCATAACTTGCGGTTATAGAGTTTTAGGAATCTACACCCCCCCCCGCCCCCCATCGTCGGGGGTGAAAAAGGTAGGTAAAATGACATCACATTATATATATTACATTTCACAGTGGAATGTGTGACGAGTTATTCGGTGGAGCTAGAGCCAGGGGGCAGGAGGGTGTTGGTGAAGGGCGGCGTACGATGAGAGATGTGATGAGATGTGTCGCGGTTGTATCATTGTTTTACGAGCATTATTAACGGTTGTTTGGGGTACTTTTGGTCAATTAATATATCTATGAAGCAATTTGAAGGTGATTTAAACGTTGTGATGGTAAAATAGAATCCATTTTAGGGCAGTTATTTTCATTCAACGTGATTAAACTTTCTCAGTACTATTGGCTACAATGCACAACATAGCCACTATGCAGACTCGGATTTAGCACTGAGCTTCAGGAGTTTGGTGTGAACACAGTCTTCCCAGTGTTTTGGCAGAGATTCATTTGGCTGTTGATTCCGATAGGAAACAAAATGTATATTTTATACTCGTGTTTAGCAAACTATGATTTGCCTCATTTATGTAGTAATATAATTACATATTACATCTTCTATATATATTATTATGATTGCATGTCAATAATATGCTTAAATTTAGTAGAAATTTCCGTGGAAATTATAATTTTTGCAGGTACTTTTGTTCAAATGTGATAAATGTACGTAAGTTTAACTTCTTTCGTAATGTGTAACCTAGCCGTGCTAATCGGAGGTGCGGGGAATGTGTGATCATTTCGCGAGCTGGGCAAGCAGGAGTAGGGTGATTGAGCACTGTGGGTTTTTGTAGCACGTGGGCCGACGCAGGGTCTCTTGGTCAATGTCGCAGAGACAAGAAGGCTCCCCGTAAGAGAACATTTCGAAACAAAGTGTTGCTGTCACGTTGCCCACTCGTGTGTGTTCCTGCGCGAAGTTGTCCAGTAATCTCAAGCAGCCGTGCGACGATGAGGAAGAGGAAACGAACACAACGCAAACTTAACATCGCTTATATTCTTGGTTCTTTCGGTAAAGTCACGTAGAAGGGAAACAATAAAATAATAAAAATATAAAACAATAAAATTCTCACGACGTTTCGACTGCAACAGAAGCAATCATCATCAGGTGTGAAAACAGCAATTAAATGTTCTTGCTGTGGTCGAAACGTCGTCAGAATTTTTATTGTTTTATATTTATTATTTTATTGTTTCCCTTCCACCTGACTTTACCGAAAGAACCAAGAATATGAATCCCTGCAGTCACGAAAGCTTTAAATAAAAATTTTACATCACTTGTCTCTGAATGGTCTTCATCTGGCCTGTTCTCTCGTTATGAACACGCCGGGAGACAGGGCCGGATGGGCTGGCTACAAGGACACGATTCAACAGGTGACATGGTTAAATAACGGACGTCGGTTATTAACGGTAATTTATGTTAATAGCTGTCACGTGGTTAAATAAAAAAAACGTCAATTACGTGAGACATTAATCCGAATGGACTTTCATCTGATTAATTAATAGCTTAGTTGACAATGTCAATGTGCGTTCATTTGTTAAAATAAAGTATGCCATATACAACAGGAAGTTAATTTAATTGAGCTCTTTCCTGGTGATAAGAAAAGTACATTACATTTTTAACTATGATCCAATACAACATTTTAAAATTTCAGGTAACATTCTGATACGCGTAATCATAAACAGTGATCATCAGCCAAAATCAAGCCACTGCTGGATGACGTTTTTCCCAAGCCATCGCCATCTCCCACGATCCCAAGATGCAATAATCCACAAAGCGTCTGGAAACGAGCTGTTTCAATTGCTTACAGATGCGTCCCATTCCGTATTTGCCACTTCGTCGTCATTCTTGCCTTTCGGCCATCATCCCTTTTAGCAATGTATGGCGACAAAACTTTGGATAATGCCGTTAACTCGCATACATTCTCTAAATTTACATGTTCATCTGTCTGCCTGTTTGCAAATCCAAGCATGTATCTCTCTATTCTTCGTATTTGGTAAAGGCCATGTGTGCAAATCTGGTGACCAACTACAATAAACGCCTGACCTCTGTGATTGCCAACAAGGGTTTTGCCACCAAGTACTAAGTCATGTTTTGCAGAGGGGTCAAATACTTATTTCCCTCATTAAAATGCAAATCAATTTATAACATTTTGACATGCGTTTTCTGGATTTTTGTTGTTGTTATTCTGTCTCTCACTGTTCAAATAAACATTTCATTAAAATTATAGACTGGTCATTTATTTGTCAGTGGGCAAACGTAAAAAATCAGCAGGGGATCAAATACTTTTTTCCCTCACTGTATGAAGGCTGATAAGCAAACGAGGGGGTGGGTGGCCAGCACCACGCCCGGCCGCCGTTGTCTCCTCTGTGGCGATATTTTCAAATCGCACCACTCATTTGAGGCTGAGTCGACCTAGGGTAGGTTTGTAGCGCAGCACGCAACCGTTACACTACCGCTCTCCCTATGCACACATAATAATACAATACCCGCCATTCACTACTAAGTGACGGTGACGTCACCACGGCGCCTGTGCCAGGCCAGGTGCACTTTGAGACCACGTAAAGTGACGAAGGCTCGCTAACAGGATGTCTCGGAACAGACCCAGGTGCCATGGGTTGGCTGATTGAGATGATCGGTAGATGCACCAGATGTACCCCATACTGTGCGTACTTCGCCCGGTGGCTAAAAGTCCACAACAGCATCTGCCGCCATTCGCCACTAGGTGGCGCTTGTGCCAGGCTGATTCCCCAAAGACAAAGATCCCCCGTATAGCCTTAACAGACTGTAGGGGCAAGTGTTGTTAGCGATAACCTATGAAGGCTGCAACAGTACACGAGGGGGTGGGTGGCCAGCACCACGTCCGACCGCCTTTGTCTCCCCAGTGGTGATGTTTACACACCACACTGGGTACTCATTTGAGTCTGAGTCTACTTAGGGGATGCCCAGGACCGGTTCAGATAATCGTCACTGGTGTTGGCCGTGAGCGGCAATCGAACCCAGGTCGCCGGGTTCACAGCGCAGCGCGCCAACCGATACACTACCACTCCCCGCTAAGTCCACACATACTCATACACACACATCTACACATTCACATATCGTTGAATACTCACTTGTAGGCCGAATTCACTGCTTCATGGAGGAACAAGACTTATTATATTTTTTAACTTTTTCAAGGCAATAACACCTGTCCTTTAAACCTCCGATGCAGCCCAAATGCACCACCTATATGAGGGAAGTGAAGATTATATGGCAAGGTGTGGCTTAGAGAGGTAGGTGGAGACTGAGATTACGCTCAAAAGGACTTCACAAATAACATATCAACCAACTCGTCAAAAAACACTGCCATGAAGAGGAAACCATTCAATAGGCAACATTTCAAGCAATGGCTCCTGATCGTTCGTAGAGCTACAGAAGCCAAGATTGAAACGAATTTCTTTGCCACTGATTTTTGTGTTGTGTTTTGTTCTTCCTCTGCTCCTCCGATTAGCTTAATTGCCTATGTACCGTGCGAAATAAGTTCAAGGTACATACGAGTAATAATGAATTCGTCACGAAGTAAACTGCGTATTTCTGAAATCCATATATCCCTCGATTTACGAACGTTCAGTTTACGAAACTCCACATTTACGCAATGGACAAATTATGGACACTTTTTGAAATCGAATTTCCGCGTGAACGCTATTTCACACGGCATGTGCCATCAGATCAAACAAGATAACATCTCGCTCCCGTGGCGAAATATATTTTTTTCAAGGGGGGCGACTCGGCCGGCAGACAACACCAGGCATTCCACAAATACACTCACTCACTCGCCCACCCACACATCGCCCACCCACACACCCACTCGCCCATCCACCCACTCACTCACTCATCCACACTCCCACTCACCCGCCAATACACTCACTCACCTGCCCACACAATAATTCGTTCACCAATACACTTACTCGCCCAGCCACTCACTCGCCCATCCATCCACCCACTCGCCCATCCACTCACTCGCCCACAAGCTCACTCGCCCACTCACACACCCACTCGCCCATTCACTCACCCACACACTCACTCAACTCACGATAATAAAAAAGTTGAGTCGTGAAAGGTGTGGCTCCGAAACTATGTGGTCAACAATGGTAACTCACAAGGAAGTAAGTCTAACATTTTTTATTTGCATTCACTGGATCTGTCACTGCTGAGATGCTAGCTTAGGGCCATGTATCAGGGTGTGAGTCTCTGAAGGGGGTTGGTCCAACATAGTCGAGTCAGAGAGACACTCACAGAGCCAGCACCATTGAGATCGCACGCAGCTCTAGAGTTTCGTCAGAGTTTCGTTGTCGAGACTCCGGCGGCAGCGAGCGATGGAGCTCACAGTGAAATTCTTCCGCACGCTCGTCTTCTTTTTGGTCACGTTCTACTTCTCAGAGGTGAGCCGAGTGTCCCAGTACACGCGTTTTTGTTCCAGTGTGTGTGTGCCTTTGTCGTGTGTCCCAGTGTGCGTGTTTCCCAGTGTGTGTGTGTGTGTGTCAAGGCCTATGATACCATCAGTAGGCCTGGGCTATGGATTTATCTTCGTGCTTTCGGAGTCCCTGACCCACTGCTCACGATCATTAAGGACCTTCATGATGGTGAGTGGGCCCGGGTAAAACTACGTGGCCGGGAGTCGGAGCCATTCCCTGTACACCTTGGGGTACGACAGGGATGTCCTCTGGTTCCCACATTTTTAACATCTATTTTGACCACGTAGTTTAGGAAGCCTTCAATAGCTATACCGGATGAATTTCCATTTGGTACAGATACAATGTTAGGCTGATTGATGCCCGGGTGCGGTCAAGGGATGGCTCCCTATTGCTGAACTATGTTATGTATGCCGATGATCTGGTAATTGCTGCTCACTCAGAGGAGGAGTTGGAGGTGCTGCTGCTAAACCTAGAGCTCGCCACCAATAGGTGGGGCCTTACCATCAGCCCCACCAAAACAAAGCACCTGCCTGGGTATTTTGTAACATCGGACACTCCACCACCACAACTCCCAAATGGTGATAGGACAGTTGTGGAGAGAGTGGAGAGTTTCCCATACCTTGGCAGTGTGTTCATGACCGGCTCCAGTTTAACAGCAGAGGTCTCACTCCGAATCAATCGAGCGGCATTATCTTTTCATCGGTTGCGTAACGCTGTGTGGCAGCTACCTGGTCTATCACTCCGCACGAAGCTTCAGGTCTTCTCGGCCATGGTCATTCCCTCCCTTGTCTATGCTTGCAAAACGTGGACCCACCTAATGGAAAATGTTCGCCGGTTAGAAACATTTAGGCTGGCCTGCCTACGATCCATCCTGGGTTTAACCAGGCTGGATTGTGTGAGGAGCTCACAAATCCTTGAAAGATTTGGACAAAGTCCCATCGGGGAGCTCCTCCGGCAGGCAAGGCTGCGTTGGCTGGGTCATGTAGCCCGCATGCCCAGCCACAGCTTTTGTTCTGCCGGATCGAGGGGGCTAAACTGGCGCGGCACGGGCTAGAGAAGAGATGGAGTGATGTGGTACAGAGGATGTGGAGCTGAGTAGACTTGCCAATGACTGGTACCAACGGTGTCAAGATCGGCCTCTGTGGAGTTGGCTCGTGAAGGACGCTACTGGGCAGTTGGAGGCAGTCGCCCTCCAACAACAACAGAGGGCGGAGGAGCGACGCTCACAACAACGATTGGAACGCCGGGTAGCTAAAGCACAGCAAATTGGTCACAGTAAGGGGCACAGATGGTGCATCAGCCAGTTGTCTCAGTCGACCCGTGGCACCTGGGTCTGCCCCATGACCTCCTGCCAGCGGGCGTTCGACACTTCACGTGGCCTCAATGTGCACATAGCCTGGCACAAGCGTTGTGGTGACGTCACCACCACTTAGTGGCGAATGGCGGTTGTTGTTGTCCCTGTGTGTGTTCTTCGTGCTTTCGGAGTCCATGTTGTTGTGTTTAGTTTGTTGTCCTTCACCCGCACCTCCGATTAGCATGGTTGGCTACATATGGTGCGAAAGAAGTTCAACATTCAAACAAACATTGATGATGCCTTGCAACATGTGTGTAATTGGTTCATGACCAGCTCCGATTTAGTAGCGGAAACCTCACTTTGAATCATTGAAAGTAACATTGTGGTTTCATTGGCTGCATAGTAACACTTTGTTTTGTCTTTCCCTGTGAAGGTTCTGGTGCAAGCTCCATCCCTAGATGACAAGTTTTGCCCCCCAGGGAAATATAGCAGCAAGACTGGTGTGTGCTGCAATATGTGTATGGAAGGTAAATATGTCGGTGCAAGCCCACAATGTAAATGATGGTTTACCTGCTTTGGCAAGTTGATTTGGGGCGGCATGGTGGAAAGATGTTAACTACCTCGCCTGATATGCAGGAGGTCATGGCTTCGATCCCGACCCTGACTGCCTGCATATTTGGAGTTGGCGTGTTTTCCTCGTGATCGCGTGGATTTTATCTGACTTCTGCGATTTGTTTCCTTCTACATCTAGAAGCATGCGTTTTTGTGGCTGCTGTAAATGTCCACATGATAAGCCACTTCGTTGAGCTATTATTTGTGTCCAGGCAGCTTTTGAACCTGAGCTACATAGCTCAGTGGGCCTTACCTGGTGAAATAAAAATAGTTGAGTTTATTTTTTTCGTAGTTTTTCATAAAACGTGTTAATGTTTTTTTTTCCCAAAAGTATTTAATTGAGCAAATGATTCGGGTACACACAGTGGACCATGTTTGGAAATTGCCACCAGTATTATAGACACTGCGATGAACAATGATTATTACTCAAAATAAAGTTTTTTGTTAGATTGCGTACTTAAAAATGCCTTCATTAACCCACCACCTGACACAGCCAATTAGTAAGGTTTGTCACGTAAACAAAACATGCCACTTAGTTACTACTTCAGCATACCGGTTGTGTGTTGGAAAGTAAACCCATTTACAATTTGAGTATGACGTTTCGCTGGTGATCACAACCAGCTTCATCTGGCAATTTGCCAGAATTAGCCTCACTAATTGGCTGTGTCGGGTCGTGGTGGTGGGGTAAGGACACATTTATAATTACGTGATCTAACCCAAATTATTTTTTATTAATAATATTGGTCGCCAAAGCCTACGTGTTAAAATGATGATTACCAACGTTTTATATTTTGAACCTGTCTTTGTAAGTCAATAAATTCTACTTCCCTGGTGTCTACTTCCTTAACAAAGCTAACCCTCTAGGGACAATGGCTCTCAGAGTGTGGTCCAAAACCTCCTCCCGGAGGTCTGCCGTGGCTGTGATGCCAACAGCAGGTTCAGAATCAAAACCAGAATATTTTATTCATACAAGAGGAATTCTATGAGCTATAAGATATTTTCCACAGACGATCATTAGGTTGATCAGAACAAAATTACAATCGTTCATTCCTTTTGCTCAGACATGCATTCATATTTGACTTGTGATATTTAATTACAAAAATAATAGAGTCAGGTAAACTTCCCTGATTATAATACCCTAACCCCAAGATGTAAATGACCCCGTAAAAAAATTATAACTGCGTAAAAAAAGAAGTGTTTACATTCCGATAACATGAATCATGTAGTATTATTATTCGGATTTAGAGAGAAGTGAATGCGGTTTGTCACCAGGAGTGGGCGGGCGACTGGTTGGTCCTGCCAGAAATGTTTACATCGGCTAAGTGATCCGTGGGCTCTACAAGTTTGGGAAACGCTCCTCGAGACTAAAACTAACAACGAAACAATTTGTACTTTTATATTTACCGGGTAAGGCCCAATGAGGCTATGCAGCTCTTTTTCAGAAGGAACCTGGCTATCACAAATGATAAACTCAACGAAGTGGCTTATCATCATGTGGATATTTTTAGCACGAAAAGAGTATAAATGCTTTATGTTGATTCTAAATGTGGAGGGAAAAACCGAAGGACCCGAAGAAAAATCCACACGACCACAGTGAGAACAAACTCCAAATATTCAGCAGGCGTCAGGGTTGCGATCGAACCCACGACCTCCTGCACACCAGGCGAGGTAGTTAACATCTCGGCGTGGTAAGCCACTTTGTTGAACTATCATTTGTGGTCAGGCTCCTTATGAAAAAAATACTAATAGCTCAGTGGGCCTTACCTGGTAAAATAAAAAATAATTTAGTTTAAGTCCATTTATTTTTTCGAGATTTACTTACCTTGCCTATAGTTTGCCCTCCTATCGCGTTTTTGCATTGTTGGTTATTAATTATCATTATTGCTTCATTCAATCACTCATTCCCTCCAGAACCAACGCACCAGTCTCCCTGACGCTCTCTTAATGACCTCCTGGCCCAGCCGTTTCTATGGACGCCGTTGCTAGGCTGACGATGTGCCCTCGTGGTCATCACAGAAACGTTATTTTTGTAGTCCACAGTGCATTGGTTATTCTTGGTTCTTTCGGTAAAGTCACGTAGAAGGGAAACAATAAAATAAAAAATATAAACAATAAAATTCTCACGACGTTTCGACTGCAACACAAGCAATCAATTTTTTTTATTTCTTGCTGTGGTTTCACACCTGATGATGATTGCTTGTGTTGCAGTTGACACGTCGTGAGATTTTTATTATTTTTATTATTTTATTGTTTCCCTTCTACGTGACTTTACCGATAGAACCAAGAATATGAATCCTTGCAGTCACGAAAGCTTTAAATCAAAATTTAGTACGTTGTTTTTTTTTTTTTGGGGGGGGGGGGGGGTTTCACTCATAACTTAGCAACGCAAGGTAGTGGACTATTTTGTTGTTGTTTGTACACACCCAAATACGACTGTGCTTTCAAGACGATACCAAATTATATATATATAAACACGTGGATTTGCATAAACCAACCAACAAACTGGGGGTGGGATTTCGATTTAAAGCTTTCGTGACTGCAAGGATTCATCTTCTTTGGTTCTGTCGGTAAAGTCACGTAGAATGAGAATAAAATAATAACTAAATAAAATTATCACGACGTTTCGGCCACAACACATGTGGCCTTCTTCAGGTGAAAGGAACAAACTTGTCGGGACGACAGAAGCTCTTCTGTCGAAACGTCGTGAGAATTTATTGTGTTATTTTATTTATTAATTTATTGTTTTATTCTCATTCTACGTGACTTTACCGAAAGAACCAAAGAAGATGGGGGTGGGATGTATATGTATACACAGTTTATATACAGCTTATATATTGTATCAAATATATTCCCATACATGTATCGTGAGCTTAATGATTAACTCATGTTACTTATATTCTCCATTCTTTGCCTTGGTTACGTGCATTTGAGTTTAGGATAAATTTAAAAATGATTGTGTTTAACCCTCAGCATGGTTGGCTACGTACGGTGCGAAATAAGTTCGACATGCATACATACATACATACGAAAGGGGGTGGCTCTCTTATACCTCATTCATTTGCTGAAACCTTATGAACCTGTGTGGCGATGCCACTCAAATAATCCAGCCACCTGTGTGTGCCTTGGGGAAACCTGCGCTCAATGGGCGACATGCGCTATGAAGCCCTTTTTCACAGAAGGTGCACGGGGTCAGAACGTGACCACAACAAACAATACAAACAAACTAACGATAGGAGTGCAACGTATAGGACAGGTAAGCAAATCACTAAAGAATACATACGTAAAATAAAGTATATATGAGTTCAAATTGCAGAAGTGCATCATTGCTGAATCTTTGGTAATGCAGCAAAACAAGAGCAAGACTAACCCAGACCACACCAAGACAACACATAGTCCCTCAACAAAACTGCACGTAAAAATGTAACAATCAATACATAGTTCAGAATGAAATAATATTTTAGGTTTAATTTAAAAACATATCTGTTTTCACTCGCATGCACGTATTTGTAGATTACGTGCCTTTTACTAACCTATTTAGCTGTTTCATGGGACCTCCTGATGTAGATGCACACCCTGAGCTCTCATTACTCTGATAGTGCATTGTCTTTGGGCTGTAGGCCTTTTGGCGTCCTCTGGTCTAACACCGTTTGAGACTAGGCTCGAAAGAAAGCCGTCTCTGGTGTGGACCAATCAGTTTCAAAGACAATGCATATATTATCAGAGTATTTGTTTTGTTTGCATTCTGACCACAAGTAATGTGGTTAATGCAGACATGATTCCTTGTTAAAGGTTTCAGTTTGGTGTTTTAACATCTTAACACGTGTTTTGTTGCCAGAAAAAAAAGGGGAAAACCTATTCTCAGTATATTTGTTGTATAAATCTCTACTCAAATTGACATTCCTCATAGTGGCAGTGTGGGCAGACAAAGGTGCTTTTGTGACGAACTTCATACCTTGGTGCTAAATTGCACCCTGAACGCACGACCTTGCCATTGGAAACTTGACCACGCACACGGCCGTATGTTCCTTGCTGTTGTTGGTATTTATAGTTGTAACAAAAATTATTTAAACACAGAGTGTTTGCCACAAATGAACCAGAATACCTCGCTCATCTCGTCAAGGAGCATAAACCATCATCACGTGATCTCCGGTCATCCTCACAGCAGCAGTGGCTTTTGGCTGGCCATCGAACAAAGTCGGTGACTGCATCGAGCGCTTTCAGATGCGCTTCTGCAGCCATCTGGAACACTCTTCTTTCCGATAATAGGAGCTATGCACTTTTAAATAATCTAGATTGAAATTAATTTCTTTAGCGCTGCTTTTTTGTGTTTAGTTTGTTGTCCTTCGGTTGGCTACGTAAGGTGCAAAAGAAGTTCAACGCAACATACATATATACATAACCAGGTTTTTGCTTATTCTTAGCTCTTTCGGTAAAGTCACGTTGAAGGGAAACAATAAAATAATAAAATATATATAAAAGATTTATCTTGTATAACCAGTTCCCCATCGATATGCCATTCATTGTCCAGTGGGGTTTACCTGCGGCAAAACATACCACACCTACAAATCACGCCAGCTTTAAATTATCTCACAGCACTTGCCCCCACAAGTCCTCGTACACTGTTGGCAATCGTTGTCTTTGATGAAGTAATTCCTAACCTTACTTGGGCATAAACGCCATTGCTCAAATCTTAGAGAACAAATACCTTAAATAACTTCCTGGTGTGGCGTTGTAAGCATCAGCACTGGGGAGATAAAAGTGTGATCTTGGCCAACCATTGCCTTGCGATGCGATTCAACGTACAGTATAACACAACATCATCATTAGCAATTTTATGGAGACTATATGCAACTTCATAAATACGCAAACTATATGTATTCACGTAAAACAATATTTAAGAATCAGAATCCTGATTCATTATGGAGAAATCCGATGAGCTATGAAGCTATTTTTCACAGATGTCCAGTAGGGGCACGGGGTCACAGAGTTACAACAGCAAACAACACGCAAACGATAGGAGTTCAAATTATAGGAAAGGTAAGCAAATCACTGTAAGAAAATACATACTCAACTTCACTGAGCTATTATTTATTTTTCAGAAGCAACCTGGCCACAAAATAAAGCTCAACGAAGTGACTTGTCATCATGTGGAAATTTATAGCAGCAAAATAATCAGCATCCCATCATCAGCCACATAGCCTTCTGGTAGTGCAAAAATTCAACAGCATTGGTTGAACGCAAGGGACCTTTGGAGCCAACCATACAAATTGGAGGTGCGATTAGCACGGTTGGTAGTTCACTGGTATTTTTTTCCTGCATGTGTATGCTTTGATATTGAATAGCGCATTGATTGTGAGAGCACTGTGGAATGTCAAAATTACCCAACTATGGAGCTGTCAAATGTCCACATTGCAGGGGAGAGGGAATGATAACATCACAATGGCCTGGCTTAGCTACACTCAGTCGTGTCACTCACACATTCTGTAGGAAGAAAACAAATACATTGCTTGTTTGTCCTCTCCAAATATATTCGGATTGTGCAATCGGCGTCATGTCATAGCCAACACGGTGGTGTGTAGCCTAGTATATCGACACGGCTCGATGTTAGCAACTCACTACTCTACGGGACGTCTGGCAAAAAACATTAACAAGCTGCAGCGTGTACAAACCTCTTTGGCACGTGTCGAAACAAGTACAGCAAAATCCGACCGTGTCCGTCTAGTGCACGCCGAGTTGCATTGGTTTTAGGTCGCCGATCGAATACATTACACATAAAAGGCTTGCCACTAATTAGCCACAATACCTTGCTGATCTTGTCCAGGAGCATACACCATCACGCAAACTCCGGTCACCCTTGCTGCTGCCTTTGGACATCTATAAAAAAAAAGCTTCATAGCTCATCAGATTTCTCCAGTAATAAATAAAATATTATGATTTTGATTGCTGCCTTAGGCACCCTAACGCAACGGTTCTCAGCCGGGGGTACGGCGGACCCCTGGGGGCACGTGAGGTGATTTATAAATGTGTGAAATTATATCATACATGAGAGTCATTGGTGAATAATCATGTATGAATCTGCCAATATAAAATAAATAAGATAACATTTAAATCCATATGGTAACCTGGAACGATATATAAAATAAATTCCTTGATCGTAAACAATGTGGTTTGCAATAGTAACCAGCGAGCGTGAACAAATTACGTCACGCACCGAGAGCGTCCGGTGATTTTTTTTATTCGCTTGCAGTTACTAGCAGCTAGTTAGGGTATATACCTCAAACAATTGGCAATTCTTTTAAAATATCGACGTTCATTATTAGTAGATTTCTTTCTCAGAACCAAAGTTGGGTCAGGCAAGGGGGTGCTCGGTTGAAACAAAATTCAACAAGGGGGTACAGCAGTAGCCAAAACAGATTGAGAACCACTGCTCTAACATGTACAGGGGTGTATGCAAGTGGTGGCTGATACACCAAGGGCTGTGATCCATTTTAGTGCAGCTCAGCGGGCTCTGTCATCCACCAGAAAGTTATGATGAACAATTACCCGGTTCGAATGCTAAAACGCCCAGGATTACAGCTACTTTGCTTATAAACTTAGATTCTCCCCTAAGTACGGATCATTTTTCTTTTGTTCTCCCGTCCTGCAACAATGTACAGCACACGGAAGTAGATAGCAACCAACGCGCAATTGAAGTGTATGACATGAAACCTTGCCATCATTTTTATGTATGTTGAACTTCTTTTGCACCGTACGTAACCAACCACGCTCAAAATAAACACAACAACAAGCACTTCTAAAAAAGTGAGTTAGTGAAATGAGAAATTAATTTTCGGCGAGGCTTGTAACCTGGTAACCAGTTTTCCATTAAACATCCATTAAAGTATTGTTTCACTTTGTCAAGTACCCCGTTTTTGTATTGCTTAGAAATGTGTTAATCCTAAAATGTAAATGACATTAACTGAGTGCATCATTTGGCCCAAATTATAATATTTTGTTACGATTTAGTTTATGGTATACGTTTAGAATATTTGGATGCAATACATTTCGACACGATAAGCCACTTTAGTGAGCTAGCATCGCGTGTGGCCAGGTCGCTTCTGAAAAAGAGCTACATACGTAGCTCAGTGGGCCTTAGCTGGTGAAATAAAAATAGCTAAATAGTTTAGTAAAAGGCACGTAACCTACACAGATGCGTATGCAAGTGAAAACACATTTTTTTAAATGAAACCTAAAATATTATTTCATTCTTAACCATGTATTGATTGTTATATTTTTATGCGCAGTTTTATTAAGGGACTATGTGTTGTTAATAATTGTAACAAGAATGTGTCTCTTCACCTCCCAAAACACCCCAATTCTGTTTTACTCAGGGACGTTTGTCTTAAGTGAGTGCACATCCAGTGGTGAAGATTCAGTTTGCGGTTCCTGCGTGGAGGGTGAAACGTACACGGAAGAACAAAACCACTTGGCAGACTGCAACGAGTGCAGCTCCTGCAGTGTTGGTGAGTGCAACAGGTGTGCCAGTTCATTTGTACGGTGAGCCTTCGCTGGGCGCCACGGTGGCTAGGATATGTTAAATACTTTGCCTGGTATATAGGAAGACGTGGGTTCGATCCCGACCGTGACGATGCCTCCTGTATATGTGGAGTGTGCATATTCTCCCTGTGGTGGTCACGTTGATTTTTCACTGGGTCCTTCAGTTTTCCCCTTCATATTTAGAAACATGCTTTTAGAGTATTTGGCTGCTATAAACTAAACTATCCAACTCAACAATTTTTATTTTACCTGTGAGGCCCACTGAGTTATACAGCTCTTTTTTTACAAGCGACCTGGCCACAAATGATAGCTCAACGAAGTGGCTTATCAGGTGGAAATTTATAGCAGCCAAATTATGTAAACGCGTGATTTTTATTCAAAGTGTGGAGAACCCGGAGAAAAATCCACGCGACCACGGGGAGAGAGGCAGGATGTCATGAATTTGAGGTAGATAATATCTCGCCACCGCGGCACCCTTAAAAATGTCCACGTGATAATCCACTTCGTTGAACTATCATTTGTGGCCAGGTCACTTCTGAAAAAGAGTTACTGTACATAGCTCAGTGGGCCTTACTTGATGAAATACAAATTATAATTTAGTTTGGTTTTAGTTTAGTTTAGTGATGAGTCAATGTTATGGTGATCGCACAGCTCTCACACTCCAAGAGTTATTCTTGCGGGTTTAAACGATCTATTCAACAGCACAGATGCCTATGGGAAGATTATCATAATACGTACATTTATTAAATGCTTTTCATCTAGGATCTCAAAGCGCTGTATAGGACAGCAGGAGCAGACACTTCAAAATAATTTCACGAATACATTTTTTAAAATAATTTAATAAATTAACTAAACATTTAATAAGTGGAAGCATATATGTAGGTATTTAAGGCGCATTTGAAAAATGTCCACAAGCTCAGAGATACCGGATTTCTCGTGGAAGAGTGTTCCATAGCCTAGGAACTACAAGGGAAAAATTCTTGGTCACTCATAGACCAAAACCTCGACCTGGGAATACAGAGAAGGTCTGCATCCCCAGATTTTGGTTACCTTAAGGGGACACATGGGTGAAGCATGTCAATGATGTAGGCTGGGGCAAGGTGGTATCAGAACGTCCTGCGCACCATGAAGAGCCAAACGTGCTAATCGGAGGTTTATATTTGGAGAAGCAGGGGAAAATAAGTGGTGATTTTTACTATTTTTTTGTAATCTGCAACAGGTGAAGAGGAGGTGCTTCCTTGTAAAAGCACACGTAACACTGTTTGCCAGTGTAAGGAAGGCTACTACAGATCGACATACTCAGAGAAGTGTGAAAAGACAATCCCAGGGCCAGGTAATTATATCTGCGATGAAGAATTTGCTTTGTCTATTCGCTGAGATTATTCAGCTCAGTTCAACATATGTTCCTTTATTATGGCATTTTCATAATAAAAAAATAACACAGAATACGTTGATAATGAGTATATTGGGTATATATTATATAATATAATATGTATATATACATATATTACATAATACAGTATACATTGAGTATATATATTAATAAATATACTCAATATCTACTTCTTTTTTGTTAATTATTCATTATAAAAAGGCCATAACAAAGGAACCACCTCTAAAGTATGACTTTTTCTTATATATGCGTTTAAGATCCGACTAGTGATCGCAGATTGGCTTCTGCCTGTCGAACAAATACATTATGGGGTCGAACTAATTACACACAAAGTGCTTGCCACAATACAATACCTCGCTGATCTCGTAACGGAGCATAAATCATGATTACTCGAACTCCGGTCATGCTCGCAGCGGCTTTTGGCGAATGATTGAGCAAAGACGGCCACCGCATTGCGCTCTTTTAGATACGCTTCCTCGGCCGTCTGGAACGTTCTTCCTTCCGATGTTAGGAAGCCACCAGAGCTATGCTTTTTTAAATCGAGCGTTTAATTTTATTGTTCTTCCCTCGCACCTCCCATAATTATCACAGTTGGCTACGTATGGTGCCAAAGAGGTTCAACATAATACAACATTATCAAATAAAAGTGCGAGTCACTCCACCCTGGTTATATTACATGTTTTTTCCTCGCTACGCTCTGCACACGTGAGTTCCCTGAGTGATTTTATACAATTTTCACCCCTGTAAATAACTACCCATTATCATCACTTGTCCACAGTCCTTTTTAAACTATCCTGTAAAGCCAGAGTGGAAAACCATTTCTTTATTGAGGGTCGAATTGGGCTGTTAAATACATTTGGTGCAGGGGGAAGGACAACAAACTAAACACAAAAAGCTGTTCTAAAGAATTGGGTTTTCAATTTTTATTGAACAATTTAACAGTGCTCCCAGTGGCCTCCTAATATCGGAAGGAAGTGCATTCCAGACGGCCGCAGAAGCTCATCTGAAATCACGCGATGAAGTGACCGTCTTTGTTCGATGGTCAGCCAAAAGCCACAGCTGCTGCGAGGATGACTGGAGTTTGCGTGATGGTTTAAGCTCATTGATGATAAATCGATCCTGTAATAGATATGTTATTAAGTGTTAAATCACGAAACTAATGCTTATTATTGTTTTCTTCTTCCAGGTTGGATGGTGGTTGGTCTAATTATTACATTGATTTTGATCATCATTGCTTTAATTCTGTCATTATGTTATTTTTACCGAAAATGGAGATGCAAAGGTATTAACCACCACACCGATAATGCTGATAATACCACGGCTTAATTATGAATGAGATTGAAACAAAACATCATTTAGGCCACTGCGTGGATCATTAAAGGTTATTAAGGTCCACGCATTAAAATAAATTAAACGAAACTTTTTTTTATTTTACCAGCTAAGACCCATTGAGCTCTACAGCTATTTTTCAGAAGCGAACTGGCTATCATAAATTACAGCTCAATGAAGTGGCTTATCACGTGGAAATCAATTGTGGTCATATATTCTAAACGCACATTGATTATAAAACCCTGAGGACCTGGAGAAAAATCTACGCAACCACAGGGAGAGAGACATGCAAACTCCAAATATACAACAGGTGTCAGGGTCGGGATCGAACCGACGACCTCCTCTATACCAGACGAGGTAGTTCACAGCAAGGGGAAGAGTGATTAAGAGTCGTGGAATAAAAAGTATGGAGACACGCGACACTCTCAGTCACAATCTTCTTGAGCAGAAAACCGCGTTTTTCAAAGAGGGGAGGTCGTCTGGGCTTTTCAGGGAGGCAACACGCTTCAGATAAGAGGATGCTGGAAGCACTTGCAGAGGAGCTACACAGATAATAATCGTAATAATAAGATGCCTTCTCAACAGTAGCAGACACGTCCAAGCAGCTGGGTTCTCATCCAGTGGAGCTCCCAGCAGTGATAATTGAAGTTCAATTCCATGCAACTTCACAGAGTCCCGCTTGGGTTTTGAGTCCGAACAAACCCGAGTGGTGTTGTCGCAGGTTTATGGAGCAGATTCCAGGCATGGGCTCCCTATTCTTCCAAGAGATGGTCTCTGTGCCGTGCCTTTGCCACACCCCAATAACTCTACCCATTTGGGGACATACTCAGGATTTTGTCCTAAACAAATCTTGGTTCTATGTGCGCAAAAAATAATAGGGGAAAACATTGATAATTTCTCATCCCATACTATACTGCATCCTATACTGCCTCATGCAAAATGTCACGTGTGTTTATGGCACATCGTCACAGGGGTTCTCTTTATGCGTTCATGAATATTGCAGCCATAGAAGTTTCAAACTCATAAGATTGGCGGTTTGCTAGTTTGTTGTCCTCCCCCCGCACCTACAATTAGCACTGTTAGCTACATATGGTGTGAAAGAAGTTCTACACACACATACAACACGTAATAGTGCGTCCGCAGGAATTACGAGCTCACAAATACCAGTGAAATGTGGATTGACCAATTTATATATCCTATGAGGTTAAGAACTTTACGATTTAAGTAAAAGTTTATCTTAAAATTTCTCCAAGTCCTCAAATTTTCCCTCATTTGGAATCAACGTCAGGCATACATAGTATTTGGCTGCTCTTATAAATCTCCACGTGATGATAAGCCACTTTGTTGAGCTGATATAATTTGTGGCCGGGTTGCTACTGAAAAGAGCTACATAGCTCAGTTGGCCTTACCTGGTAAAATAAAAACATGTCCATTTATATCGTTCTTTAGATACGTCCAGTGCTCACTGAGCTGCATTGGCTTCCGGTTGCCAAACGAATACATTATAAGGTCTCACTCATCGCACACTACCTCGCCTGGTATGCAGGAGGGCGAGGACTCGATCCCGACCCTGATGCCTGTTGTATATTTGGAGTTTGCATATTTTCTCCGTGGTCATGTGGATTTTTCTCCGGGTCCTCCAGTTTTTGCCTCCACATTTAGAATCAACATCATGCGTTCAGAGTATTTGGCTGCTATACATTTCTACGTGATGACGATAATCCACTTCGTTGAGCTATCATTTTCGATGCCGAGGTCGCTTCTGGAAAAAGAGCTATGTAGCTCAGTGGGCCTTACACATGGTAAAATAATAAGTAGTTTTTAGTTAATAAGGCCGGCTCATTACAGTTCTGAAAATAAGGCCGGCTCATGCCGGTTCTGGACTTCTACCCCTCCATGTCGACGCTTCCAGCCTTTACAAAACCCCACCGCCGACCAGCGCCCCCCATCATCTAAACAGTGTGGGCAGCCTTGATCCAGCAGTGGATTGCCAATAGAGCGATACATGAAAGCTCGTATTTTTTTTTCACGCAATTTTTTTATTTATTTTATCGTTCACTACCGCACTGCTCACCAACTTTGTATCTCTCATTTGTATGGAAAACCAACCGTGGGAAGTTTTAAATGGAAGGAATTATGAAGAAGTCTCTCTGATTGATGGACTTTTCAATGTGAGTATACTTTTTAAACCTGTTTTTATACCTAAACCGTTAAAAATTGAACAAATTATGAACCTGGAAAAATAACTCAACGTCTAACTGTAATATTTTCCAAAGATGCACGACAAATTCTGTCGTAAATCAGTACGATTCATTGTGTTTATGACTATATAGTAGTTCGAAGTAACATTACAATAAAAAATGAAAATCTCTGGTAAATGCATACACCCTACGTCAGCATTAAAGATAGTGGAGTATGTATCAAAATCACCGTTAACTTTAAGGTTGTGTTGAATTTCACGCCCTGGAACTGTATTGTTAATTGAAAGTGTCAAATTTGGAGAGTACATTATGAAAAGATCTAAGAATTTATCAGGACCACTACTCTGACCATGGGCACATAAGAAATGCAGCTATTGCTAAATTGGCTAAAAGGCATTAACACCCCACTATAACTGTGGCAATACAACATTTAAATTCAGGTTGGCTACGTATGGTGCGAAATAAGTTAAAAACAAATACGTCTATTTTTTATCATGCACAAGTATAATTGGTTATTTTCGCATGATCACAGGTTAGACACTGGAAGTCGAGACAGAAACTGATTTACAAGAACAGAAAAAGGCTGCAGAGCTCCATTGCCAAAAACCCTCAACACCTCCTCGATGAACTGGACAGCCAGGGGACCATCTCTCACAGCGTCTACCGAGAGGTCCAGGACACTCCCACCAGCTCTGACCGTGCGGCAAATCTGATCCAACAATTTCTGAACCACGGCGAGACGGCCTGCCAGAACCTCTTAGACACCCTCCACGCAACCGGAGACAAGTATCCGGACCTTGCAGACTGGCTGGATTCCCTCGGTATGTAGCTTCATTGTGGATCATGAAATGCAATTGTCCTTCCGTCCTCACCTCCGATAAGCACGGTTGTTTACTGCGTATGGTGCAAAAGAAGTTCAACATACATACTACACTATACATTACTATACACTACACTATACACTGCACTACACAATACACTATACACTACAATACGCTACTATACTAAATAGAAAAAAAAATTCTTTATAAATGCACTTGGTGCGTAGTTTGTTTTCCTTCCCCCGTACCTCCGATTAGCAATGTTGGCTACATAGGGTGTGAGAAATTTTCAACATACATACATTATTGCGGTGGGTTTTTCATGGACTACTTTAGAATCCGAATATTTATGCTGGAGGAATCTGAATGGCTTTTAAGCTTTTGATTTATAGCTTTCGTGACTGCAGGGATTCATATTCTTGGTTCTTTCGGTAAAGTCACGTAGAAGGGAAACAAAATAATAAAAATATAAAACATTAAAATTCTCACGACGTTTCGACTGCAACACAAGCAAACATCATCAAATGTCCAGTAGGGGCACGGGGTCAGAAAGTTACAATAACAAACAATACAAAGGCATGGAAGGTGTGCAAGTGGAAGTTAAGCAAATCACGAAAAAACAATATGTCCAAGGAGTTATCAAAGCCTTCTCCAAGTTTGCACACATATAGGACATAAATCTATATTGTATAATATGAAACAAATTATAATCTTACATGTTTTATTTGTGTGTGTCCTGACAGAACGTCAATCCATTGTGGTCGTTGAAGGAAGAAATATGCATCTCGTCCGCAGAAATAAACTTCATCTGAAGCGGTGGATCAGCGATAACCCAGACTACCTCATTGAGGAGCTGGAGAGTAAATTTATCATTCAGAAGAACGTCTCCGACGAGGCCAAGAATCAGCGCAATTCTTTAGAAGTCACCGGCTTCCTACTCGATCACATTATTAGCTGTGGGGAGGAGAGATGTCGGGAATTCCTCGATGTGCTTAAAACCATAATCAGGTACCCAAAAGTTAACAAATGGATGAGCATCCTCGGTAAGTACATGAGTGTGTACGAGACTACCACGGTGCCGATATGTTAACCACCTCGCCTGGTATACAGGAAGTCGTGGGTTCGATGCCAACATTGATGCCTGTTGTATATTTAGAGTGTGTATGTTTTTCCCGTGGTCGGATAATTTGTCTCCGGTGTTCTCTAGATTTTCCATCCACATTTTGATTCAAAGTGTGTTTTTTTCTGACTTGATCTTGTTTTGCGATCCCCAAGATTGATCACGCCATCCTCATTTACACAACGTGTGCTCCTCCCTTGATATAAACCCTTTCCCATTCCGATGACGTCCGTGTTCGTTATCAGAATAAAATAACGTGATTGGTACCGAGGCTCCCACAAGACCATACGGGACGATGTGTGGCACAGTTTGGCGCCAGCTATGATAGAGTGTGGTCTTGTCGCTACAGTTCTCTGCAGTGAGTAATTACGTATTTTAAAACAATGGTACTGCTATGCCTCTCAAAATACATTTAATGCTGAATCGCTTTCATATTCTGAGATTTGGCAGTGAAGGTGACACCCACCCTGAGACTTGCAGTCATCTCGGAGCGGGAAAGGTTTGAGAGTCAAACGTTCAGACCTGTAATGTATATTGGAGCTAAAAAAAAAATGTATTGAAAGGTAAACTGAGATAATGAGCAGATTTTTTTATGCATTCTACCACATTAACGGATAAATTTTGACTTAAAACGTCTGTGACTGCAGGAATTCATATTCTTTGGTTCTTTCGGTAAAGTCACGTAGATAGAAAAAAATAATAAAAATCAAGTGAATAAAAAAACCACAACGTTTCGATGGCAACACAAACGGTCGTCATCAGGAAAATGGGTTAGCCTCTAAAGGCAAACTGTTAATAAAGGTTTTGAGATGAGCGTAGCCCAAGTGTGAAGCAGAAGATTAGTGTTGGATTAAAGTCACATTGGCAAACTTTGATCCTTACCCGTGTCGTATCGATAGTTCAATGTCCATGTGCCATTGTATTGAGGGACTACTACTGCTGTGTGGTATCTTGGCGTGATCAGGGACTGTTTTTGCTGTTGTTTTTGCTGACTTGCCCAAGTTTGATTAATCGACTTATATACAGTAATTAATGTATTTGGAAGGAATTCATATTTATTGACTTGATTACCCTTTTCCTCAATTTTTCACTCCTATCGTGTTTTGTATTGCTTGCTGTTGTAACTTCAAGATCTGCCCATAATGGACATCTGTGAAAAAGAACATCATAACTCATTGGATTGTTCCCTTAGTCTAAATAAAGATTCTTATTACGTTATGTTCCCTAATCCACGTGTTCCTCTACCTGTCCATTCTTCTTCATGCACTTTTTATTTGTATCATTTGTCCATGTTTCTGACACATATTTGCTTTGTAAAATTGATTATGTTAACATAAAATATCTAACATTATACTTTTACTGACCCAATAGAAATGAAGGCGGATCTTTACAAAGAAGAGAATAGTTTGAATCAAGGTAAGGTCACATCATCTTATTAAGAGAATAGACCCCTCAACACGTGGGGCGCCACGGTGGCTAGGATATGTTAACTACCTCGCCTGGTATACAGGAGGTCGTGGGTTTGATCCCGACGCTGACGCCTGCTGTGTATTTGGTATATGCATGTCTCTCTCTCCCCCCGTGGTCGCGTTGATTTTATTCAGGTCTTCCTGTTTGTTCCTCCATATTTAGAATCGACATGCGTTCAGAGTGTTTTACTGCTATAAATCTCTACATGATAATCCACTTGATTGAACTATCATTTGTGGCCAGGTCGCTTCTGAAAGAAAGAGCGATATAGGGCAGTGGGCTTTACCTGGTAATATATTTAGTTTTATTGTTTTTAGTTTAGATAGGTCTATGTAAGAAGAAGTATATAAAAAAGAGCCTACATTTTTAATTAAGTCAGGTTCTCGATGCGGCAGACTCACTTCTCTTTATGCAAGTCTACTAGCCACTCTTTCTGTACTGCTTCCTGAGACAAATTCGCATTGAGATGCTATGTTAATCCCATATTGTATGGTACTGCATTGTTTGCGAAAACAACTCTCTTACATATTCTTAGCTCTTTCGGTAAAGTCACGTTGAAGGGAAACAATAAAATAATAAAAAATATATAAAACAATAAAAATTCTCACGACGTTTCGACCATAACACAAACGGTCGTCATCAGGTGTGTCGGTTTGGTTTAATTTATTTAGTTTTAAATGGTGCATTTATTCATTTATAAAAACGTCAGCGCCACGTGCAGCGATTTGGCAGTTTATTTAGAAGGACTAGTCCATCTATGTTCTGAAAAGAGGAGGGGGGAGACGAAAAATTAATGTATGCTGTCTGAAAGCCACTGTAAGCGTGAACAATCAATTAAGACCTGAAATGGTTTATCAAATCTTTCCAATGATTGCTAAGCCAGAATCCATCTTCTCGGTTGAAATTGTCTCTGTGCTTGTATATGTGGATAGCCTCATGAACGAATCTCTCATGATAGCTAGATGGCTTACAAAGAACCTCTGTCTTGGAAAAGTCAATGTCATGTGAGCCTACTGAATTCTAACAATGATCTGCCACGGCCGAGGTGTTGGTACTACCGTGTTTAAGGTCTGCTTTGTGTTCACGAATGCGGTCCGAGACTTGGCGTTTGGTTTCTCCAATGTAACTACCACCACAGAGGCAACTTAGTTTGTAGACACCAGGGTACTGTATGTCCGGAATCACATATTTTACAGACGGAACCAGATCACGGATTTTATGTAATGTGTTGAAACGGACCTGGATCTTGTGTTTATTCAAGATTTTGGAGATCTTTTTTGTGATCCCCGCAATGTAGGGTAAAGTGATGGTTTTGAAAGGCTCCTCAAGAGGGTCCTTCTTCATGGTTTGAGTGATAGCTTTGCGGATTGTATAGTCGGAGTAACCATTAGCCTTAAGAGCTTGGTGTACGTGCTTGAATTCACTGCCTATGTGTTCCTGGTCGGATATGCATTGGGCTCTATGATACAGAGTCTTGATGAGATAATTCTTCTGTGATGGATGGTGGTGGGAATCCGGTTTCAGATAAGCATCCGTATGGGTAGCTTTCCTGTAGACAGAGTGGCTCATTGAACCATCAGGTCTCTTTTTAATTAGGACATCCAAAAAAGGTAGCTTGCCATCTTTTTCGACTTCCATGGTAAATCTGATGGATGGGTGTATGGAATTGATGTGGTCGAAGAATTGGTCTAGAGCAGGCCGGCCATGTGGCCAGATGACAAAAGTGTCATCCACGTACCTCTTCCATAAGGTTGGGCGCAGAGTGGCAGTCTGGATGGCGTCAGTCTCAAATTTCTCCATGAAAATGTTAGCTATAACCGGAGACAGGGGGGAGTTCATTGGGGTGCCCTCAGTTTGTTTGTAGAAAGTTCCATTCCAAGTGAAGTATGTATTGGTTAAACAGTGTCTCACCAGGGGGGGTACCTCAGTGTTTAGTCCTTGATGCACCAAGTCTTCAATGATTGCGATGGTGTCAGGTACAGGAACCTTGGTGAATAAGGAAACTACATCAAAACTGACAAGCAGGTCGTCTGGGGACAGGGAAATACCCTTGATTGTCGATACCAGGTAAGTAGAATTGTGTACCGCAGAGGTGGTTTTTCCAGTGAAAAGACGCAGGATTTAACCGAAAGAGCTAAGAATATGAATTACTGCAGTCACGAAAGCTTTAAATCAAAATTTAACTCTCTTGCAGTTGAGAAGGCGAGAATCGTGGTCGTTGACGGCAATGCACTATACATGATCCGTGGCAAAAAGCCTGAACTGAAGAAGTGGATTGCCAGTAACAGCTCCTCATTTACTTTACTGGACAAGCTGAAGACGTGGCGACACATCTCAGAGCACGTCCACTCCAAAGCTGCGGGGATGGTCACAATAGAACAAGCCGGATTCCTGCTCGATCACTTCATTGATGGAGGAGAGAGGAAGTGTCATAGCCTGCTAGAGACACTCCAGGAGCTCAGAGAGCACTACCCACAAGTTGACACGTGGCTGGATTCACTTGGTACGGGAACGCACTTGCACAATATTTAATATCAGTGCTTATTTATGTCGAATGTATTTTGAACTTATTTCGCACCGTATGTAGCCAAGCGTGCTATTCGCAGGTGCGGTGGAATGACAACAAACTAAGCACATAAGCAGTTCTAAAGAAAAGTGTTCTCAATCTATACTGCCCCATCTCTAATGAGATGAGGCGGTAATTCAGGTCATTTTGTTATGATATTCAGCATAATGTGAATGTATTCATAGGAAATCTTGATTTGAAGCTTTCGTGACTGCAGGAATCCACACTCTCTGGTTCTTTCGGTAAAGTCACGTAGATAGAAAAAAATAATAATAAAAGAACACCACATTTGGGTCACAACACAAGCATCTGTCATCAGGTGAGAAGGAATTATCTCATATTGTGGCTTTATATAGGCACGGGAGAGGGGGTGGAAGGGGGGGCTGGGGTTTTGTAGAGTCGTGGCTGCAGGAGTTCACGGGGGGAGAGTGGGGAGGGTTTGTGGCACGCAAAGACAGGTGGGGGCTGGAGAAATTCGCATGTCCATGAGCTTGAGTCGTGGTTGGAGGGGTTCACGGGGGGAGAGCTCATGGACATGCTAATTTCTGCAGCCCCCACCCGTCCCTGCGCGCCACAAACCCTCCCCCCGTGAACTCCTGCAGCCACAACTCTACAAAGCCCCAACCCCCCCAATACCCCCCTTCCCGTGCCTATATGAAGCGACAACAGCAGATAATTATTTCTTACCTGATGATGGACGCTTGTGTTGCGACCAAACCGTCGTGTTCTTTTATTATTATTATTTTTTTCTACGTGACTTTACCGAAAGAACCAGAGAGTAAGTATTCCTAGGCAAGCTGGTATTGCAGTTAGCATATGATGAAGTCATTTTTAACGACAAACCCCGCACCAGCGTGACGACAACGGTGATGAATGTACCGCAGAAAACAACTCGCAGATCGTGGTTGTGAAAGAGGGGATGAGAGAAAGAATCACCAAGAGCTACGAGGATCTAAAACAGTGGATTGCCAAGGATCCCTGCGTCCTGCTGGACGAGCTGGACAGCAAGTGGTACATCCAGCGGCACGTCTACAACACGGCCAGAGACATCAAGGACAAGGGCGAGTGTGCCGCCTTCATTCTCGAGCACTTCATCAGCGGAGATGAGGAATACCAGAAGCTGCTGGTAGCTCTGAAAGCCGTGCATCGACATTACGATGATGCACTACGTACTTGGCTAAGCTCCCTAGGTAAGTAATACTCTAGTTACGTTTTTTAAACCATCACACGAACTCCGGTCATCCTCGCAGCAGCGGCATTTGGCTGGCCATCGAACAAATATGGTCACAGCATCGCAGGTTTCCAATGCGCTCCTTCGACCTTCTGAAATGCTCTTCTTTCTGCTATTTAGCAAGCCACTGGTTCTATGCACTTTTACATCATCTTGATTGACCATAGGAAGTGTTAGACAAGAGGACGCCAAGAGGACGCCAAAAGGCGTCCTCTGATCAAACACCATTTGAGACTAGGCTCCAAAGAAAGCTATCTCTGGTGTGGACCAATCAGTTTCAAAGACAATGCATATACTATTTTTTGTTTGCATTCTGACCACAAGTATTGTGGTTAATGCAGACATGATTCCTTGTAGAAGGTTTCAGTTTGGTGTTTTAACATCTTAACACCTGTTTTGTTGCCACATAAAAGGGGAAAACCTATCCTTATTTGCAGGGAGTAGTTTCATTGCCAGGGTGAAGAGTAGAGGGGGAAGCAGACAGCTCTGTCTCGACCTCCTCCCCAGCGAAAAACTCTCAGATCTTATTCCGTTTGTCATAACTGAGGCCGTGGGATGTGTGTATAGGAGTTTGCACATGTCTATGAATTGTCAGGGAAATTTAACTGTACTCATTACCCTAAATAGAAAGGCCCATTCAACTCTATCAAACGCATTTCCCCCATCCAGCATCAAGGCATGTGCGGCGAGATTGTGCCTGTTAGTAATCTCTGTTGCATTGACGAGAGTGCTGACGTTTTCAGCAGAGTCTCTATTTTTGAAGAAACCCGTCTGAGCTGTCCATATAATCGCTGGGAGAATCCTTTTAATTCTACCAATTAAAGTTTTAGCTAATACCTCATAGTCTGCATTTAACAGAGATAGTGACCTCTAGCTACCCACCATATCTTCTGGGGAGCCTGCTGTTGTTTTTTCCAGGATTTTTTTTATAAGCCTCGTGCTCTCGTCTCCATTAGATAAGCTCTGATATGTACACTTTAAGTGTGTTCCATAGTATTTGAGAAGAGAGAGGCAAGTATAGAGCAAAATGAATCTGAATACATTCCTCAGTTTCCTCTCTGATCTTTAACCGGATGATTGTCCTCTAAGAATCGATGGTCTAGGGACAAATAATTAGTCCTTATATGCTTTCGTGTGGTAACAGGGGCCTGGAGAGAAGATAATAATAATAATCGATTCTGGAAAGCGTCTTATAGGTTCTAGAAATGCGAGTGAAATCTCTTTCAGTAGGGTGGGTCCTCCAATGGTCTGTCAACTGGTGTTGAGTGATTGTTTCAGCGAGCAGAAGCTGCTGTGCCGCATTTTTGTCAGAAACTGGTGAGTGTGATTTATCAAGAACGAGAGCCTTAACCAGGTTCCAATTTCCTCCTGCGAGAAGGTCCCCATTCCTTTTCTCAATCAGAGCCGTGATTAGGTAAAACTTGAATTGACCGTGTGGGTGTATAGACGTTCAGAAGGGTGACATCCTTGCCCTACAATTTTCCTACAAGATATATGTACCCCCTTCGGGGTCTAATTTGAGCGTCTCTTGGGTCATTTATATCCTTTCATTAATGAGAAAAGCTACTTCTCTCGTTCAGTGAGATGCGTTTCTTACAGGAACGCAACATCAGCCTTATGCTTGCCTAAAAAATTAGAAGGGTACGCTGTCTCCTGATAGGGTGGTTCAGGCCGTTGACATTCAGGTAGACTATATTTAGTTGATCACAGAGGGGGGGAGTGGTTTTTTTCAGAGTTACTGCGGGTCAGGGGAGAGGGATCCAGTGTCTCTTGTTAGTCATATTTATTGGGAGTCCTTTCAGAGGGTGGAGGCTTACTTTGGCTGCGGACCATCGCTGAATGAAATAAAAGGGATACAGGGGAAAAACAAAATACAACCGAACTACGCACAGTCGAGTCCCATCCAAAATAAAAACCCTTGGGTTCAAACCGGACCCCCCAACAAAACCTTGGCTTCTGGTGAGACTCGAGTGCAGCACCTAACTTCGTCTCATAATTGAATAAACAGAACACAACCAACAATACAAGTCGATGCATAGCAAAGTGATCTTGACGAACAAAGAAAGGCGCCCATTGCATCATCATTCCCAACGCTTTAAATGCACGGGAGGAGACAACAATGGGCGGGGGATGGCAGGATGGGGTAGTAAACGGGCCCGAGCCCTTGATATTGTTGAGACTGGAGTCAAGGGAAAATGGAATTGGTTAGGGAGGGGGCTCAAACAAAGAAATCTGAAAATATGGTAATGATAAGAGAGCTTTGGATGTAGCTCTAATGAGGGGATAAGAGGAGTACGACAAGGGTTAAACAGGAAGGGAGAGAGCTGGGTGTAGACTGAGGGATGAAGAACACCAAGTGGATATGAGGGTATCCCGCTCTCCTGGGCCTTAGCCCAGGATGACTCCGTTACTCCCTGCCTGGTCAACTAACTGAACCAAGGGGGCAGGCAAAGGGAGGTTAAATGGGAGGAGACCTCTGATTGGGGGGGGGGGGAGGGGGCACCCGGAGGGGGCAGGGCCCACAAATCAGGGAGACTATGAAAAGAGGACAAAAAATTGTACAGCAGCTGAGGAAGAAAAAGAGCGATTAGAGAACTGTACCAAGAAGGGGTTGAAGGGATAAAGGAGCAAAAGAGGGAAGGAAAAGATAAACCGACAGGGTTTCAGGTATGGAGTAATCAAATATGACGAGGCAAGGGATTGAGTGGGGGAGAGCAGAGAGTGGAGGATGTGGAAAGCGGCAGGAGAACGGAGGAGGAGAAAGAGAGGTGGGAGGAGATGGACAAAAAGACCGAATCCGTACGGTTGCACACATCCACGTTAACACTCGCATGGGAAGTCTCGCTCTTCCTAGTCTGAATTTTATGCATTTCCAAAGGGAATAGATAAGTTGATTTGTGCCCCAATCTGCCGCTGTGTGCGCATCGTGGACAGGGGTGACCTAGAACTGCCCCTACATGACCATGTCATGTCAGCGATATAAATATAAATGTGTGCAATTTTTTATGTTGTTCGTGGCAGCTAGTTCTTCTTATTAATGGGTAATTAATGATCATCAAAGAAGTAAGAAGGAAACTGGCACGATTTAGACACATGTAGTAGGATGGACAACAACAGCAAAATTAATAGTGTGTTCTTTGGAAAAATGGAAGACACCGGAAAGAGAGGGAAGACCCAACAGCGAAAGGCTTGACAACGATATGAGAAGTGATTGGTGCCAGAAATATGTTGCACTACTTGAACATATTGGCATAAGAGAGAGGAAAGTGGAAATATGACAAAATGTGCAGGGGACACTATGGATGGTGATGATGATATTTATCAGTATTGCCCATTATATTAATTGCGAGATGAATACTTATTGCACCTTTTCGCTGCAATCTAGTCGGGTGATGTTCAATCTAATTACATGTACTTGAATATATGTTGAACTTCTGTCTCAGCATACGTAGCCAACCGTGCTAATTGTAGGTGCAAGGGAAGGACAACGCACGTAAACATTTTTTTATTAAGAATTGAGTTTTCAATCTAGATCATTTGCATAGCTCTCGTGGCTTCCTATTATCGAAAGGAAGAGCATCCCAGACGGCTGAAGAAGCGCATCTGAAAGCATGCAATGCTGTGACCATGTTTGTTCGATGGCGAGCAAAAAGACATTGCAAGGATGAGCAGGGTTCACGTGATGATGGTTTGTGCTCCTTGACGACGTCAGCGAGGTATTGTGGTAAATTTATAATAAGCACTGTGTGTATGTGTCTCTTTACAGGACTTACAAGGGAAACCAACAGCACCAATCCCCCAGGTAAGATCAGGAATTATCTGTAAATAGTCCTTTCAACATAACCACACAAGTGTAATGAGAGAGCGCCATCTGCTATATATAGTGAGTTACTGCACGGGCTCTATGGTTCATTGGTATCCAACCCGGAGCAGGGAAACATCTGGGCCAAAGGTAACGGGCGCAGTCGGGAAGACTACCCGAGAACCATCAGGAAGGTTCCACGAGGGGGCGTGGCTAGAGGTGGAGCTCAGCTCCACCAGGGGGTATATAAGCAGAGCTGGAGGAGAACTCAAGGTTGGGTGGGAAGCCTCGGGTCTGGGCTGCGCCTCTGCTCCTCACCAGCGGCCACATGGCGAAGTCACCATCAGAGTTCACCTCTCCTCCCCAGCACGCCGTCAACCAGCGGTGGGTTGGAGAGAGACAGAGGCGCGACCCTCGATGATGGAATGGAGAGAGAGTGCCTTGTCCACGGCAATAGACGGTTGTGATTAATGCGGAGGAAGAGAGAAAGTGGAGTCGTGCCTTATTAAAGTTTAATAAAAGACACCAGTCACGATTCGTCGTGGAAGTCGTTTATTACACAAGGAACAAGATCCTAGTGGACCCCAACAGCATATATGACAGAAGAGCCACCATCAGTATTGTTTGGGCTGCCCAGAGTTAAAGTAAAAGTGAATCCCTATAAATTATAGTAGCAAGTATGGTTAACCAAAAGCAACAGCGAGGATGAACGTATGTAAGTTGAACTTATTTATCACCGTACGTAGCCAACCATGCAAATCTGAGGTTCAGAGGAACGACAACAACCTGAACACAAAAATCGATTCTAAAGAAATTAGTTTATCAATCTAGATGATGTAAAAGTGCGTATCTCCAGTTGGCTTCCTAATATCAGAAGGAAGTGCGTTCCAGACTGCCACAGATGCGCATCTGAAAGTGTGCAATATGCCGACCGTCTTTGTTCAGTGATTAGCCAAACCCCCTGCAACTGACGATTACCGGAGTTCACGTGGTGATGCTTTATACTCCTTGATGAAACTTGGACCAACAATGGAACATTTGCCGCTTGTTTGCAGAGGTTCACAACTTTAATTCCAAAAGCCTGCGCTGGTTTATAACGAAGTAAATATAAAACACGTTCCGTTTGCTTCACAGTGGATATTAAAGATCCTTGATGTCGTTCGAATTGAGGATGCCATTTGTGCCGCAAACTGCAAACTTCGAAAATGCTCAGTAAGATGTTTGATAGAACAGCTGGAAGTATGGGAAGGATCCTTGGCTTTGCTTTGTGAAGGTCAAGGGAGCTGTGACTGTGTGGCAAGAGGGTCTGTAGGAACTGCTAGAATCATGGCAACACAAAATAAGTTGGCTGATACAAAAACTTCTAAGATGATGGTCAGTGCTGTATATGGATAGAAGGTAAAACTTCATAATGATTTGATGTTAGGGCAGGTGTTCGTTAAAATTGTATTTTATTATTCTTTATTAAGAATATTTTCGTATTCATTGTTATGCTATATTGCGTATACACTTACACCATGAATGGGGTTAGCACAATGGAAAACTCAAAAATCATTCAAAGTGTGATGAGCGTGCAGGACTTCGAATATTATTGTTATGCAGCATTGGAGGCAGTCTTAGGCACTGAGGCTGGACAATGGGGTCTTGAGATAACATTTTCTAAGACAAAGTTTATCACAGCAGCTATAAATAGGACTCCTGCAGCAGGATCACCAGACCGGATATGAAAAGCAAAGGTCGAGGTAGTAATCTACTTAGGCAGCAATGTCCATCATGCGGTGGGTTCAGAAGCAGGCCAAGAGCATTATTGCTTTGGCAAGGCAGGCTATTGATGTGCTATGGAAACTATTTTCGAAGGCAATAGATGGATTTTAGTAGAAAAAAATGGTATTGCTTTCTGTAAAATTCTATGGGTGAGAGAGTTGAACGAAGTAGCTGGTAAAGGAGTTTGTTGGCATTGAACATATGTCTAAGACTGATCCTGGGAATTCCGTGCCGATACAGGATTAGCAGTGCCGAAATGTGACATGGTGAGCACTGTAGATATGATTATGCAGGGTGTGGGATGGCAGGTTACCGAGGAAGGAATTAATAAAGGTCTCCACGAGTCTGGCGACCCAGGGATAGACCTAAGACCAGGTTATATCTATGGGACCTCTTTGCCAGTATCCAAGTATGAAACATAAACAAAGGTTTTACCCTTCATGGAAATAAAATAGGCATTAAGATGTTAAAACACCAAATATATACGATTGCAAGGAATAAAGTCTGCATTAACCACACACAGCACTTGTGGCAAACATGCAAACAAGCATGCTCTGATAATATGGTACAGGCCAATCAGCTTTAAAAACAATGACAATATTTTCAGAGGATGTTTTATTGCATGTTTTGCCACAAGTACATGTGGTGAATACAAACGGATGCCTTGCAAAAGTATATATTTGGCGTTTGTGCATCTTAACATATCTTGTTTTTTGCCAGAAAGAATAAAACCTTGGTACTATTTTTTCCATGAAGACCAGGTTGGTGGGATTACTGTTAGGGCAGATGTTGGGAGGTCACGTGTCTACTTTACAGCAGCTGAGGGATCTAGCAGAAGGGTAGGGAGTGTTGACGTGATACGGTCGCATTGATGGCTTTGACCAAAATGAAAACTCGGAACTATCCGAAATTCCATCTCACAGAGAAAATAATCGTGGTCGTGCCTGGGAACGCTGAGCACGTGATCCGTGGCAATAAGCCCGATCTGAAGAAGTGGATCGCCAGTGGCAGCTCCTCATCTACTTTGCTGAACGGGCTGATGGCGAGGGGACACATCGCAAGACACGTCCATTCCAAAGCCACGGGGATGGTCGCAATGGAACAGGCTGGCTTCCTGCTCGACCATTTCGTAGACGGAGGAGAGAGGAAGTGTCAAAAGTTGCTGGAGACACTCCAGGAGCTCAAGGACGAATTCCCCGAGATCAAGCAGTGGCTCAGCTCTCTCGGTATGTTATTGCTTGCTGCTCACGCCGCTGCTGCAGGAAAGGCCTCCACGAGATGGAGCTCAGTAGTTTACATGTTCTCCTCGTGGTCACGTGGATTTTTACTCCGGGTGCTCCGGGTTTTCTCTACACATTTATAATCAACACGCATCTAAAATATTTGGCTGCTTTCAAATTTCCGCGTGATAAGACACTTCATTGGGCTGTCATTTGTGATAGCCAGGTCGCTTCTGACAAGAAACTATATAGTAAAATAAAATAAAGTTGTTTTTCCTCATCGGTGAAGCGGAGGCCCAACACCTATTATGATACCACCCGTGCTCAGTCACTGCTGTCACTGCAGAGCCTATTGCAGTGACACAAGTCACGGAGGCATCTGATGATGTTCGCTTGCCCTCTATATGGCGAGCGGTAGTGTAGTGGTTAACGCGCTGTGCTATAAACCTGATGACCCGAGTTCGCTTCCCGCTCACGGCCAACACCAATTAAGATAATCTGAACCGGTGCTGGGCATACCCTAGGTCGACTCAGCCACAAATGAGTATCTGGTGTAGTGTGTAAATATTACCACGTGGGAGACAAATGCGACCGAGCGTGGTGCTGGCCACCGACCCTCTCGTTTGCCACAGTGTTGGCCTTCATGGGGTGCTGCTAATCGCTAACAGCACTCACCCAAATAGTCTGTTACAGGCTTTGTTTTACCTTCTAAACGTGCTTGAAAGTAATCTTTGGCCTTCATTCAGGGAAAGAGTTTCTCACCCTTGGTCTGTCTCTATGCATTGAAGTTGGATGAATATACTACCGTCTGAAGGCCCTTTCTTCCGATATTAGGAAGCCACTGGAGCTATGGACTTTACAATAATCTGGATTGAAAACAATTTCTTCATAACTACTTTGTGTGTTTAGTTTGTTGTCCTTCCCCTACACCTCAGATTATCACGGTTGGCTATGCACGGTGCGAAAGAAGTCCCACATACTTATGTATTATGAATATTAAACGTTGGATGAAAGTCACGTGCATCTTTAACCAAGTACTACATGTAAATGTGTATTTATTGTTTAACTGCGCCACAGAAAATAAGGCAGCGATTGTGATTGTGGAGGAGGGAACACGAGAGAGAATGATCACCAGCCGCAAAGATCTAAAGCAGTGGATCGCTAAGGACCCCTTGGTCCTGCTGGACGAGCTGGATAGCAAGTGGTACATACAGCGGCATGTCTATAACACGGCCAGAGACATCAAGGACAAGGGCGAGTGTGCGGCCTTCATTCTGGAGCACTTCATCAGTGGAGAGGAGGAATATCAGAAGCTGCTGGTAGCTCTGACAGCCGTGCAGAAACACTACAATCAGAGGCTACGCGAGTGGCTAACCTCGCTGGGTGAGTTATGCAACAGAGAAGTCTCGAGGAGGTGGCTCAGATGTTTTTCCGCCACCTGTGATTCAAATGAGGTACTCAACTTTAGTGGCTCATCACCAATGACTGACATAGAGCCCTATAGATTCACACAGAGTGCCCGGGATTATTTATGAAGACACATAGACTTGCAGATATCTGAAATCTCAATACAACTAGGCAGGTGTGTTGACTCTCGGGATGAGGCACCCCCAACAACTTTAACGAAAATTTGGCCGGGAGCTTTTGCCACAGATGACCTCATAGTACAATAGTAATATTAAATATAATAACATATATTTTATAACACGCCTTTCATATTTAGGTATCTCAAAACGCTGTAAATGAAAATAAAACTACACTCACAAGTGTAGATAACATGTCAACGAAATAGAAAGCTGATAGCAATATCAATGACTACACTCTAAATTCAAATAAAATGAGGAGCTATGTTAAAAGCGAATGATCATACTTACAGATTAATCCAATCAGACACCAAAATAAAGTTACAGGACAAACCTGTTGTACAAAAGGGTGAGTTTTAAGATGTAATTCATGGACCGAGTAAGGGGATTCCACATTTACCCAGCCTGGCCGTGAGAGGCTCCATCTTCCATATGACATGACAGTTTTATGCTTGGAATGACGAGTAGTGGACCAAATTCAGCTGATCTAAGTTTTCGCATTGCATATACAACTTGAGCAGATCGGCGAGATATTTAGAAACCAGCCCATTGAATGCCTTAAACGTGAGAAGCAGAATCTTGAAGTCGAGTTTGTACTTCACAGGGAGATAGTTCAAATCACAATGATTTTGATCCCATTTAAATTGTTTTTTTGCGCACGTTCAGCGCACCACATCGCGCACTTTCAGATGCGCTGCTGCGGCCATCTGGAACGCTCTGCCTTCCGATTTTAGAAAGCCACTGGAGCTATGCACTTTTGAATAATCTTGATTGAAAACTAATTTCTTTAGAAATGCTTTTTGTATTTAGTTTGTTGTCCTTCCCCCCGCACCTCACATTCGCGTGGTTATCTCTGTATGGTGCGAAATAATGTCAACATACAGTACATACGTAAAATAGTTAATTGCACATGATGCAGGATGTCATAGGAATCCAATGCCGATGTAATTAGTGATTTAATGAGAAAGCACACGAGGTGAGGGGCTGAGTTATGGGTCCCCGCGTGGGACCCGTAAATTGGAATTTCAAAACTGTTGAGCCTGTGTCAAACCTATCACATTCTCTTAACGCAGCTTTCTAAATCATTTGCTTTCTTTTTTCTTCTTCTCATCGTTATCCTACTACAGACCCGTGACGTTATGTTAATGTAGTTTTTTATATATATATAAATCATATCATTATGAACACAGAAACGGTGGACATTTGTTTCATATTTGGTAGTCAGTCATAGGTAGGGAGTCAACTGCACAGATGGTTATGGAAATGAGGTTCCAACTATAGGGGCAGCAGACTTGAAGTATAAATCTGTCAGTGAGCTAGGTATAAACTGAACTGTAAACTATTTATATTTTACCAGGTAAGGACCACTGAGATATATATCTCTCTTTTAGAAGTGACCTGGAAATAAATATAGCTCAATGAAGTGGCTTATCATGTGGATATTTATAGCAGCCAAATACTCTAAAACCATGTTTCTAAATGTGGAGGGTAAAACCGGAGGACCCGGAGAAAAATCCATACAACCATGGGGGGAACATGAAACTCCAAATATACAGCAGGCATCAGTGTCGGGATCGAACCCATGACATCATGCAGACCAGGCAAGTGAGTTAATATTTAGTTGACATATCGCCACATTTAAATGTCATAAATCTGATATGTTCATGTGCTTGTCTTTGTGTTGCAGGGCTTCCATTTTCACCAGGTACTCCAATTTCGCAAGATGGTCCTCTGGCAAATCCAGCAGGTTATCATGAGGCTGCATTTAATTTTAATGACAAGGAATCCTTGAATAGCACTACAATTACCCACTCGTTCAACACACCCCAATGAAGACCCAAAGATAGTTTCCATGGCTGATGAAACATCATAATTGATCTGCGCAGCCATGATCTGCGCACTTCTAGGTGAAGGACTTTACAATCCATATCTACACCTCATGGTCTCGCAATACAACAACCCATGAAGCTGATGCTTACGAGTTGATTTCATCCTTCCGTCTCCACCAATAACTTCAACCGCTGACTATCATATCTTCCCACAAAGGGTCCAGTCCAAGCGTACTTTAGTGACCCTCTCCAGAGCGCTACGGTGGCTGGGAGATGTACCTCGCCTTGTATACAAGAGGTGGGCTCGATGGCGACCCTGACACCTGTATAAAACTAAAAACTACTTTTTTTATTTTACCAGCTAAGGTCCACTGAGCTATTTAGCTCTTTTTTAGAAGAAACCTGCCTATAATAAATGATGGCCCAACGAAAAGGTTTATCACATAGAAATTTACAGCAGCCAAAAACTCTAAATGCATGCTTCTAAATGTGGAGGAGAGAGAAACATGCTCCAAATATACTGTTTATACTGTATATTTGGAGTTTGTGTGTTCTCCCTGAGGTCTCGTAGATATTCCTCCGGGTCCTCCGGTTTTCCCTCCACATTTTGAATCAACGTCACACGTTTAAAGTATTTGGCTGCTTATTCTTTGGTTCTATTCGGTAAAGTCACGTAGGTAAAAAATAAAACAACAAAAATCACGACGTTTCGGCCACAACACAAGTGGCCTTTATCAGGTGAAGGGACCGTACTGTCCAGAGGACAGCGTTGGAGGGAAGACAGTCAAGCCCAGGTCGCGTCCTTTAAGCTGTGTGGGAGGAAACAAAACGCTTTGACAAAGGAATTAGCATAAAATGACCGTAACGCACGTAGAGGACTGGCACGGGGGAGGGGGAGGGGAGTTTACAAATGTTGGTGTGAAGGTAAATAAGCTGCTGTGAAAGTTTGGTATATCACTACTTGAATAAATGTACTGTATCATTGAAAATTAGTTTAATGTTTGGTATGATTTAGAACATCTTTCCAATGATTGCTTAATTTGAAACCATCTTCTCGGTTGAAATTGGACGCGACCTGGGCTTGACTGTCTTCACTCCAACGCTGTCCTATGGACAGTACGGTCCCTTCACCTGATGAAGTCCACTTGTGTTGTGGCCGAAACGTCGTGATTTTTGTTTTATTTTTTACCTATGTTACTTTACCGAATATAGGCAAAGAGTATGGATCTTTGCAGTCACGAAAGCTTCAAAACTATTTGGCTGCTTTACATTTCCATGTGATAATCTTCTTCGTTGAGCGATCATTGGTGACCAGGTTGCTTCTAACAAAGAGCTGTATAGCTCAGTGGGGCTTACCTGGTATAATACAAAAATGTTTAAATAGTTACATTTGTACTACTTTGCACACCTTTCAGATATTGTTACATTTCCAAGGTCAACCATCCATTTTTCTGATCCATATGGCAAAGCAGGTAATCTATTATAATATTTTGTTGCCTCGCTTATAACCTCCAACAGATCAACATATTGTTTTGCATTAATGCTTTGTTTTCTCTAAACGTCCCCAGCAGATGTACCGCGTAAATAACGTGCATTTAAAATTAACTTCGTCAATTTAAAGTCCTGATCTTTATTTGCCTTTACCGCTACAACGTAAAGCGCACCTTTGTACCAGTATGGTAATTCAGACAATGGACAGCAATACTATCACAGCGATTGGCTATGCCGACGCCATGCAAACTCAATCATATCGAGCTGTGACGTCACGTCACATTACAGTGATGTGTGTTGGTTTGACTGATAAAGTCTGCACGCAGTTGCCTTTGAAATAATTTAATAAAGTTGCTTCTGTATTCACATTTCCAGAGGACAGAAATGTAAAACCATGGAAATTTATTAAACTGTGATATGCATGAGGCTTCAGCCTAATCGAAGGAGGCAATACTTAAATAAATAAATATTATGCACCATGTTTTTTGACATCTTAGACTAAAGTGCAGTGGTTTCATTATAAAGGAGGGAAATAAATTTCAGTTCCCTCTTCCTGCAATAGGGTGCCAGTGAGCTAGAAAGCTCTAAATACGGGATTCCTGCGTTAACTGCAGAAGTTACACAACGCACAGACATTGTCATGAGATTTCACTCGACATTGACTTGCAATTATACTTTTAAAATCGTTGTTTTATGTATACAGTACAAACATTGGAAAAAAACTACATTTTATAACTCTGGGCACCTCTACATTTTGGGGGAATTATTATTTTAACGTTATTATATTTCAACGTATGTGTCTATAATGGTGTGTACCTGGAGATGTTAACGTTTGGTAAATTCCACTATGCGATTTATGGTATGTGTATTTTGGGTGTATTCTGTTGAAAGTGCGCCACTGATTCCACTATACAGAATGTTCTGTGTGTATGTGTGGTATATGCACAATATTTAATGTTGACCAATTTCAGCGTACGTGTATTCTCAAAATTACGTGGGCGGATATACCATGCCCTGCAAATAATGGTAATTTTTTGGTAACCACAAATGTTTTTTAGAAAGAAAATCACACTCTTGATGTAAACACATTCAACACCGCGCAAGACAATAGTGATTTGTTGTTTGCTGCATCTTTACGCAACGCAGAACCATAACGAATCGGGTAATCCAAACGTAGTACTACTGCACTGCACAGTCGCTACTTGCATTGCAATGTATGTTCCAGAAATGCCTCGTTTTTAGTGGCATCAGTACAGTGACCCTTCTCTATTCGCGAGCTCTGGATTCTTGAGTTTTGCAGATTCGCGAGTTACTAAATGTATACCAATTCCCTATTCGCGACCCACCAGACTCTTGTATTTGCGAGCATACGTAGTGCTAAACCACCGACACCCGGGAGGTGAGCACAGAATCCTGCATCTGAAACTGTCTGCCAAGATTAAAAAGTAACCCTCGCAGATAGAGAGGGTTTTATTGTACTATATTTTATAATGAAATTCAAACAACATTACAAGCTTTTTGGAATAAACGAATATGTGGCCTTAACCAAAACTTACATGGATCATGGTTTTGTTGTGAAAAACATGTTTTAAATCAACATTACAAGCTGTAAATGGGTATTTGTGGAAATTACTGTTTGCAAGGAAAATGGACACGGGCACCCAACCACTGAATTACCATGGAGTTTAGAGGACACACCGTACAAGAGCTAAATTCGTTATTTTCTGCAAACAAGTTTTACAGTTGGCAGCCTATGTATGTGTGTTGAACTAATTTCACACCGTACGTAGCCAACCGTGCAAATTGGAGGTGCAGGGGGAAGAACAACAAACTAAACACAAAAAGCAGTTCTAAAGAAATACGTTTTCAATTTAGTTTTAAAAGTGCATCGCTCCCCTTGCTTCCCCATTTATTTTATCATTTATTTACCCCATTAGTTCACTCCGTGTATGTGCTGAAGTCCAAGTCATCCAGCACACAACCAACGAACGTTCCATAGATGTACATCCTGAAATCAATTATCTCAAGTCATTTACCAACTAAAACAAGTACATCAAAGAAAAACTTAAAAAATGTTGAGCAAAGTTGTAATTCCAACTTTAGCTCAACACGACGCTTAACCACGACAGTTTTACAGGAATTTTACCATTTCACAACCACTGTGCATCTTCAAAAATCACTTAAGCACCACCTTATCGTGATGAACTCTCAAGCCGATTGTCAAACTCAAGTGACAGAACTCAGCACAAAACACCGCCAAAAATAATAAAATAATGGACAAATCTTCAAACCAGACAGCACACCAAGATGGCAATACTTAACACCTCCCACCGTACACAGCACAACATTATACCGCACGGCGTCATCCATCACATTACGTAACTATTTTAATTAAATGGGTTGTTTAGCATTATTGTTAATGACTGGGCTGAGACCATGAACTCACTGACACTGAAGAAGCTGGTTTAATCACAGGTAGATTTAAACCTAGGATCTAACTGTGCCAGTTCAATGCTCTGACCCGTATTTATGTATGTTGAACTTCTTTTGCACCAGCCAACCGTGCTAATTGAAAGTGCAGAGGGAAGGACAACAAAGTAAACACAAACAGCAGTTATTTTTGTATTATTAGGCTTTCATTTGACAGAACACGAGCACTTTACAAATCAAGTCCATGAGTGAACAGTCGCAAAGAGCCGTCCCGACGCAACTGAGCTCTATACAAGAGAAGGGAGAAGGAAGGGGGTTTGAATGGGAGGGCCCGCTGCCCAAGCTGAGGGAGGCCATCAACATTTTAAATGTGCAGGGGCGGGGGGGTGGAGGTAAGGAAGTATAACTAAACTAATGAGGAACGTTTAGAGTATCAGTGAGGGGAAACAGGAGAAAGGGCAGAGGAAGGGAAGAAAGAACGCTTGATCGTTACCGAGTTCCACTCTCTTTTATCTGCTGGGGGGGGGACCCCTCTTTTCCGGTCCCAATCTCTCGGCACACCGATTAAAAAGTCATTTTATTCAATCTTGATTTGAAGCTTATTTTAACCTCGCCATGAAAGGGGACCACATATCCTCGAATTTCTTCTCCTTTTCCGTAACTTTTGGCTCAGATACTCCATGCTTAGTCACGTTTCGTCACCATATCTGGTTCCTTAACCCTACAGGGTTTCTTCGACTGCTGGAGAAAGATTTGTGCTTCATATGTTGTTGAAATAGCTTATACAATGTCCAAGTAGAGTTTCACAACATCTGGGCAGTACCAAAAGGTATGAAAATATGTTTGTATCGTGCCCAGTGTGCATTGTGGGCAGTCAGTCAAGCTCTCCGTAAACTTCGCCCTTTTCTAATTTGTCAGGGATGCTCCGTGTATAAATTCAAACTGGATTAGCCGAAGTGGTAGGGCTCTTGCTCAGATCTCGGGGTTTACCAGATCTCTAACCAAATCTACAGCGTTATCTCATAGGGCACAAACCTGTTCCACAGCTTCTTGGTCACTCATCTAATGGCGGAGCATCGCTCTACCCAAAGTCGATAGGCCTCAGACATAATACTGTATAGTTAACCCTAGGTGTCTCTAATCAGCAAATGAGTGAGTACATGAATCCCGTTTTCTGTCGGGAGCGTTTGTTATAGCGTCTCTGATCTGGAGAAATTTGAGAATGGGGGATGTCGTAGGCGGCCCGCAACCATCAAAATACAGTACCCATCCGTCCGTGTACAATAGATCATCAGCCCTTTCTATGATAGCCTCCCTCCAGTTATCTATTTTATGACCTTATCCCCCACCTTTAATGATGGGGTACCCCATAGTGTCGATGCTCTATGTATTGGGACTGAAAGGGTACTTTGCGGTCCTTGCAACCTGTTTGTGTCGAGGCAACTGACCATAGTGGCTGTATTCGTCGTGGTCTATCTTTATTTCTGACCAGAGCATACCCCTCTAGGGAGAACGGCTTGACCGAATGCTCCTTCCAACTTTTCACAATCCCTCACTTCTTTAGGTCGAGTTAGCCCTTCACATTGTAAAGGCCCACAGCTTTATGATATTTC